CAATTTTCAGTCCATCCGACGGAGGAGAATTAAAGAACAGAGGATTATTCCTGCAGGGGTGCAAAAGGAGGAGAGGGAGGGGATGCCGGAGGGTGGTTGCAGAAGAACGGGGTGGAATTAAGCATCTCGCCTGAAGAGACTTCAAGTCACTTCAGCATCGTTCCCTTCCCTTCACGGGTACGACAAGGATTAAAATCTGCCTGCTATAGCGTCCCAACCAACCAACCAACCACCATTCCTCCCTTCGCTCGTTCTTCCAATATTAAACGGATGTTTCGATACCTTCCGTGACGATCGCTTGACTCTTGTCAATTTTTCTTCGAAACTTTCCATCGTGACACGAAGAAATAATTAACGAAAGTTCGTTGCCCTAGAAAGGGTACGCGTACTCGTGTCTTGGATGATCCTATTAACAGCGCGATGTTAGTGACAGACTTGACGATCCAGGAAACGTCTGTATCAGGATCGATCCGAGTATTGCGATTACATGCAATTCCTGCTCTGCCATCGCAACGTCGGGATAGCGTGATCGCATTACAACAACCCTCTAGGCTGATGCTATCATCCCTGCTTGCAAGCGTGGTTAGCCACGATTAGGCGAATCTTAGCCGGCAACCGTCAACGGTAAACCATTCGACGTGTAATTATTCCGAAGAATGCTTAAGATAATACAACGCGAATTTCGGTGATAATAAGTATCCTATATTGAATATTTATGTTCCAAATAAATAAATAAATTTTTTCCATATTCACGTCGCGCTCGAGCGTGGAACCAATACCATTTAGAGTTCGTGCATAAGGTCTACAGAGAGAAACACGAGAGGTCAAAGTGCGAGGAGCCGAGTTATGGGGTTGTAGTAGTTCCAGGGTGGATGTGCCATGGGATCACCATAAGGTGGGATATTTCATGAGGCTGTATCCATGCCACGAGAGCATAGGACGCTCGTTTCCCCGCGGGAATTTTCGGGATCACCCGTTATATCCGGCGGATACCGACGAATGACTGGAAAATAATTTGCAGTTCTCGCTCTCGTGGGGAAAATGACCATCGAAGAGACGTTCTTTTCCCTTCTTTTCTCCTTCGCCTTCCCCAATTCCATTCCGCGTAATTGGAAACTGGATCATCGATTATTCTCATCGATCGCGGGGTATTAATTAATTCGCTATTCATTTTCGCGAACGAAACGATCCCGCTCGAAGGATGACCACCTGAAAAGTTTATCCAATTTTCTTGTAGACGGTGGTTATCACTTGACAGCGGAATAAATTCCCGGGAGATGAGAAAGCGAAATTGGAGCTCCAGGGGCACAGGAGATGCGTGAGGAAAAGTAGAAAGGATTCGAAGACTATCTCGAAGGAAATGGACGGGATTTCTACTTTCAAAATTCGTATATTTCTTACCCTTACGCAGGTGTCTACTAATGACGATTTTCATTAATTATCAAATTGGACAATTAAGAAGATACCAGATTCGAGACGAGCAATGTATGCACCATCGAAGAAATTTAAGGATATTGAATCAGAAGACGGTGGAAGTTGAAAACGCAGAAACACACTACGACTAAACGTTTATAGGCACTTAGGGTAACTTTTCTTCGCGCAACGCTATATGAATAAGTGATAAAGCGGCAGCAGGATGAGGTAGAGTACCGTAGTATAAATTCCAGAAGGTTGTCCTTTCCTGGCTCTCCCATGGGTGCACCACACCCTCGAGAACCGCCGGCATAAGGGTTATATTTGATAGATACTGCTCGGCTAAGTGCTTATCGTATTTCGTTTAGATGCGACCATACTTAAACCTACGATCTTTGTGAATACACCTTAAAAGCAGCGGGTTTAAAGGTCTTCGCCTTGAAGGATGGTTCGAATTGGAGCTGAGCCAAGGAATTTTTCCTAAATGAAAATATATCAGCAGCACACGCTCACCGTTCTACTGAATTATGTAATTTTTTGTTAGGTAAAAGGCAGAAAAATAACGGGACCGAGACCACCCTCGGAGGATAGAAAGATTCGAAATAATTTACTGAGAAATATAAAGCAGAAATTTATTTTTTTTTCCTCTCATTCGACAAAAATTTGCGACGATCGATAAGGCGATCAAAGTTTCGGCACACGAAGAACGAAATAATGGGGAATTTCGTTCGTTCGTTTCGCGTGGTTAACGAGCCATTAAACGCCTCGCGACTGGACCGCCAACCCTCCTCTGCTGATACACGACGTTATCCACTTCATTAACAATCGATCGGCTCTTTCGACTATTACGCAATTCGAATGGCGATAATTGATAGAATTCATTTGCGAACTTGAGTGTTCACCGCGGTTAAAGAGAATTCGCTAACAGGATTGTCTACTGAACCCTTTCGAAAAAGTTTCATCCCCCGAACGAGTGCCTTTTTGTACGTTCATTTGGAACGGTCGTTAGCCCGCCTACGGCGAGCGAATGAAAAGTTTCCTTTTCCTCCCGATGGTAGATCGAGAAGAAATAATTCCATATTTGTCAAGAATTGCATCGTAAAGCCAGGTCGCTGGTGTGACCAGGTGTTAGCCGCAAATCTGAGGAGGATTTCGATTTGACGGTTCGCGTGGAGAGTGGTAAACACGGAGGAGGCAGCAGAGAATGGAACGAGACTGCGGACGAAGCAGGAGACCGGGGATAAAGAAACGGGAGTAGGCTTAGCTGGCTGTTCGAGATCGAAGCTGCCTTATAGTATGCTTTTTCGATGGTCGTACGAAGGCCTTAAAGGATAAGGCCTCTTTCTCCCTCTCTCTATTTCTCTTTTCTCCACGCCTTTTCTTTCATTCGCGATTTCGACAGAAGAGCTTCCTGCAGCGTACGCAAGACACCGTTCGTTCCGAGTTCCTCCTTATGGCCCGCTGGGGGCTGCATTAAAATGCCTAGAATTGTTTACTGCTCCACCCCCGCTAGTAATATCCACTGTAAACCACGCTTGGATAAAATTCACCCCTTCTCCTCTCGTTTCACCTATACGGTTCGTAGAGAAAAACGAACCTTGACATTAAATAAAATGATCTCAAGTGACACAATCCTGGTAATTCTTCCTATTTAGAAACTTGCCCCCAAGTTTCGCGATCCTTTTATCTCCGGGCTGGACGCGGGACGCGAAGGAGTAAATTATTTAGTTAAGGAAGTCATTTTGGCAAGGTTCCCGGTGGTAACAACGAATTCGCTCCTTCGAGCGCTATTTTCTTCGTTAATTGAACCGGAAGCACCGCGGCTGGTAATGGTAGAACGACCGATGACCGAGTTCGCGTACAAAATAGCTCCGCGAAATGGGATCGCGGAAGATAAGTCTGCAGATTTTATATTGGTCCACCTTATATCGACAAAACCGTGAAACGAATGATGTTTTTTTCATCTCGTGAGATCGATTGCTATCAATTTTATCGACAAACGAAGAGATTGAAAGATGATTCCTCTTATTAAATAGATAAACAGAGACACAGAACGATGGTTGGTTCGGTCGTTCCTTTTTTTTCTCCTTTTTTTGGTTTCTTCATCCGTAACGGTTGTGGATGGCGCGTTTATGCCAGAAATAGCAGGAAATAATGTGTTACTTTGATTTCTTTGTTCGGCTGCGCTCGGTGCACCTTCCTGGAGCCCGAGAACCGTAGATCGATACTTGTTCATTCCACGCATGTAAACACCGGCTCGCGTTTTCCAACGGGCCAATGGTCGTTTTGTTAAACTCTATGCCCGAACTTTTGTCGTAAACTATACGCTTTATGCGCGGATAGAGAGAAAACGCGGCACGCATCTGTACGGGACGATTAGGCGGTGTGCACGGGGTTGGAGAAGATCGAAAGAGAGATGGAGAGGGAGGAAAGAGGAAGAGGAAGCACCGGGAGAGCAGAGGGGAAAAAGAGGAACGTTCGAATGGAAGGATCACGAGAGAAGGGGATAACGAGTTACTAGGGCGAAACGGAGAGAGAGAGAGAGAGACAGAGGGTAGGAGAGAATGGTAGTGGAAAGAGAAAACGGAGGGTGTGCCGGGGGGTTGCTTTCAATTAGGAGGCAGTAACTCTCCCAGGCATTGTTCATTTCACTCTAGATTTGTATTCCCCGTTTGTTTGTTCCCTTTGCTTTTGCGTTAACCTGAGCAAAAGCATGTATACGCAATCAGTCAGAGCGGAAAAGACGAGCCAGAGAGCCACCAGAGAGGAATCGCGTGATCGTTCCACCCTGCATCATTGTGATTTTTCCCTCCCACTATCTCTCACTGAAAACCCGTTCGCTACCCGTTGTTCCGGGGAAACTGGGACTAAAAATCACCGACAGCGAACACCGATCGAAACGTTAATTACTCTCGGCGAGATCATTTTCTGCAATACCGTTGAACAAGTAAATCAGCGGTACCGCATTTGTGATCGGGGTTCAATGTTCGCGCATCGATTGTTCCGTTCTTCGATCACCGACTTTAATCTTGTGTTTCATTAACCGTTGGACGGTCAACGCAGGACGGAGGGTTAATTATTCTAACGTGGCAGTGCGAACATTCGTTAGTGAACGCTGGCAGAATTTTTCATAGATGACCCTTCCTTGAAAGACATACTTAAAGCGTGAAAGGGTTAACTCGTAGGCAGAGTGCAAATGCGTATAGGGGAGGAAACTAATATACACTTATACGGTATTTTATGCGTTTACAGTAGGCGCCTTGCGAGGGCTGCGAGGCTCGTTACGAAATTCTCGACTAACTTCGTTCGCCACCTTCTCCCTCTATACTTCCTCTCGTCCCATTCAAACTCGCGAGAAGTTTCATTTACGTCCATATGCCGAAATAAACTGAATTTCAACCAATCATTATTCGCGAGCGGAGCCGTAAACGTTTTCGCCCGTTTGTATCGCGTCGAATGAAACCCCGCGACGCACCGTCAAGATTTCTCGTGCGTTGCGATCGCAAACGCAAGGATCGAAGGGATGAACGATCGAAACGAGAGATATCGATCGATTCGCGACGAAACAGTCGGCGTGCAATCGGAATTTGTTATGCGAAACGTCAACGCGCGTGGGTTTTCGGCTGGCACACGTCGTGACGTAAATCGATCCCGCCAACATTATCACCGATGACGTACGCGTTTCTGCGTATCCGCAAACGAGGCAGCTCGTTCGAAGATCCCAGCGATAAAAGTGCTACCAGGTAATTAAACGTTTGTTGACGAACCAACAAAATGTCCATGGTCTTTCGATTCGACTAGAACCCCTTGGAGTATATTTTTGAAAAATAATTAGAGACAGCGATGCTAATTAACCGTACTCTCGCGACCATGATTCAGACGAACAAAGAGGAAGCAACGACTGTGAAAGTCTAGCGAGCCCGAAGAGTGAAAGCATTTTACGGAAGAATCAATTCTCGCGGCAGCAGCGAAGAAAGTCGAAGAGATTACGGCTCGTTCCGTTCTCCGATTCCGCTGGTCTTTAGCTCCTCGTAGCGGGCCGAGTTTTCAGCCCTGGTTCCTCCTTCGCATCGAAACGCCAAGTTATCAAGGCTAATTTTTTCGCCTTTGTCGCATCCCTCGGTGGCCAGCAGCCGGTTCGTTACTCGTGTTTAGCCGGCACTGTTTTTAATAACCTAATGGCTCTTATACGCGGTACATTATGTCGGTACCGGTCCCTTCCCTGTCCCCCCCTTCTTTTTTTTTATCTTCGTGCCTTCGCTCTTTTATTTGCAATTTTTTCGTTGAAACGACAAAAATATCCTTCTACGGCTTACTTGGTTGCTTGCTTGCTCGCGGCATGCAAAACTTTTGTCTACGAGTAAAAAAGGGTGAAAGGAACGTGTGGACGTGGAAAGGGGCTAAAAGAAGGGAGGAAAGATGTAAAGGGGATCGCTTTTTTTTTTTTTTTCTTCTTCCTTCGAGTCGAACAAAAATCTTTTACGGTTCCACCCTAGGTTGTACTCGTTCGAATGATCGGTCGAGGAAGAAACGATCGCTTAACTCGTCTCATTCTTTCGCTTCTTCCTTTTTTATCGGCTGGAAATTCACCCTGCCTTTAACCGTTGAAAGCGGCGGAACGAAGCCACTGAATATCTCTCTTGGCGTAATTAGCCCCAAGAGGCTAGTCGCGACCGAAAAGCGTCATTGAAACGCTTTAAGGGGTTAGGCCACTAGAATTTTGAAAAAATCGAAAATTTTGGTTTTGCTTAAAAGGTGCCTTATTGTCTTAAAAATGATATGGCAAAAGATTATGGGTGGAAAATATCTCTAAGTACTCGAATTTCGAATTCTGGCGCAGACCCTCCCGGTCTGAAAACTTTAAACGCATTTTTCAAACTGGCCGGACTCATAAATTAAACAGATTATCACCAATCGATTTGAAAATTTAACAGTATATTCGAAACTAAATTCTCTACCGAAGTACGTAGGATTTTTTCATTATATTGCATAGTTCTTTTGTTATAAATAATTTTCTGGCGATTGTTTCTTGAAATTTTATATTTTCTCTTTTTGCAAAAATCAATATATCAAAAAAATCCTACGTAGTTCGGTAGCTGTTCTCATATACAGGGTTTCTCAGCTAAAGGAGGCCACCTAAATATTTCTTTTATTTTTAATAGTACAAGAAATATCTATGGTATAATTTAAATGGTATCGAAGGAGGAATACCGTAGAGGACAAATTTTGTTGTCCGATTATTTTTCATTGTTTTTCAAGGTCATCGTTATTTTTTATCAGGAAAACTTATATTTTTCTTTATTCCATCTTGTAACGGCTGAAAAAATGTATTTAAATTATGCTTAAATTATGACCTTAAGGGTGATTTTCAGTAGGTATCAAAAATATGATAAACTTGTAGGGTAATATTAGAATCACATTTGAACTTACCGTTTATAATGTTAATAAAACTCAAGATTATCCTTAAAAACATAACTTAAGCATATTCAAATGTATTTTTTCAGCCGCCACTAGATGAAATAAAGAAAAATATAAGTTTTCCTTGAAAAAATGTGTCTTCTACGGTATTCCTTCAAATTATACCATAGATATTTTTTGAACCATTAAAAATAAAGGAAATATTTAGGTAGCCTCCTTTAGCTGAGACACCCTGTATAATAAAAAATATTTTGGCTTTTTATCCTAAGTTAAAAAATACAGGAGTTGCTGGTCCGGCCGTTTAACCCTACAAAAAAGAAGGGTAAGCGAAGAAATGCTGCAGAGCCCATATTTTCACTTGAATCACTATACAAAAATTAATTTTTAAAGTTCAGTAGTTGTAAAATAGAGGCATGCTTACAGAATTTGGATTTATTCCATGATTTAAAAAAAAAATTCCGAAAATATGCCTATTTTTTCTTGCTCTAAAGTGGCTTAACCCCTTAATCATTATCGTTCGCGCCGTGATACTTTGGTGCGCCGACGAAATTTCAAGCGATCAGCAATGATTAAGGTTTCATTATCGGATAATGCCCTGACCACGGGGATTATATCGTATCGCGTAAAAGGAATGAAATATTGAACAGGGATTTCCGTGATTCGGTCATCGAAAAGCGACAGATTCCTCTCGTGTAGATAGAATGGTGGATCGAAAACGGCGGTGAAATTCAGCGACGCGAAACGAGGAGAAATCATCGGCCAGAATTATTTTCATTGAAAAGCTTCTGGTCCGAATAACTATACCGCCGCCCCTTCTCGCCGTGAAATAGCCTCGTTCGTTTCAAATTACTTGCCCTATTTTCCTTTGTCTTGTCTCACGTTTTGCGGCTCTCGCCCCCTCTCCCTCCTTGCACCTACCCAGCTTCTCTATGGAGCCTTAATTTAGTAACCGGCCAACTCGAACATTTTCGTCCGACTCTCTAAAATTACCCTCGTAAAATTAACCCCCTTTCGTGACCCCGTTAAATATTAATTCAACCATTGGAAACATTTTTTCCCTACTTTCGATAACGTCACCGCCTGTATCGAACGGAATGCAGTTGGTTTTCTTTCCTGGCTAAGCTTTTCATCGATTCGATCGAAAGAAAGGGGAAAAAGGAAGGAAAAGGCGGAGAGGAAGGTTTTTCCACGGGGTAACGGTGGTTGATTACGATTCAGGGTGCGGGACCGGTGATATTTTACCTCTTTTCGAGACTTTACGATCGGACGTTTTTAATTTCCCCCGTCGCACATGCTTAAAGAAAGGGCCGAGCGAATGCAAATTGTGACAGGAAAATTATGCCCCCCCCCCCGTGAAATTAATGTCTCCCCGAGATCGGCTCTTAATACAGCCCCCCGTTTATGCACTTTCTCGCGCCGGCGAACTTTATTCAAAGAGCAAACCTACTACCGGTCAAGCAAATTGAATTCCTGATGAAACCAACGAGCGTTTGCTTTCAGATAGAAGCGATGAAGATGATCGGAACCGTGATTGACTTAATGGATTGCCGTCATCAAACGTCCTTACTGATTTGCGTCATCCTCGTCATCGTGTTTCCGATTCTGGCCGCGACCGATGCCGATAAACGCGAATATGGGAACACGTACGAGAGGAAAACCGAGGGCGATCATGCATTTTCGAAAAGTACGAAGCAATTGAAGCACAGCGACGATAACGGGGACTCGACGGTAAGTAGGCTGGGTCTCGAATGACCCAGTATTGTAGGATGCCGGCGGAAAAATTATGGTTTTTTTCGTCTCGAAGAACCGTCCACTAAAATTCGTCAGGGGGGCTGAAGTGGACGGTCCCTGTCCCAGACGCCTGGGATGTAAAAGCAGACGTTTTTAAAATAAATATTTCTCAGTTAATTTCTAGCGTAATTTTAATTTATTGTCACGAAATGATACATTATTACATGCCATTTTAGGCTATTTATGTATGAAAAATTATGTCACTTAAATGGTGACCATTTTGGTGAATGCAACTTTGCAGTCGCTCCCGGAAGTTCGCTACTACTCTCTTCAACAGTTCTTCGTTTATCATTCCTAGTTGCTGGCGAATGGCATCCTTCAGTTCTCCTAATGTCCGTGGCTTTCCTTCGTAAACGCGTGACTTAAGATAGCCCCATAGAAAAAGATCACACATTGAAAGGTCAGGTGACCGAGGAGACCAAGGAACGTCATCGAATTTTGAAATGAGGCGTGCAAAGTTGCATTCACCAAAACGGTCACCATTTAAGTGACATAATTTTTCATACATAAATAGCCTAAAATGGCATGTAATAATATATCATTTCGTGACAATAAATTAAAATTACGCTAGAAATTAACTGAGAAATATTTATTTTAAAAACATCTGCTTTCCCTGACGCACCCTGTATATCAAGTGATGGAGCACTTGCGAGAAAGGATGGAGTTACACGCGCGACACCTTGCGGCCATCACGGGAAAGAGGCCCAAGCACCGGGGCGCCATAACTCCGCTTATAACCCCCACAGTATCAAATCGTACGAAAATTCCTCGAACAAGAAAGGTGTCCTTCGCGGTGGGCCTCGAACTGCACAAATTGCTTTATGGCGGGGCCATAAAAGGCCCGCACGAAGGTCCTGTACTGTATACCTGGTTTGGAAAGTAGCGCATGCGTGCTGAGGAGCCAGCTAGGCTCCTACGCAGATTACACAATACAACCTTTAACCCGTTCGATCAGCAGCCGGAGCTTTCTTTCAGTTTCGATTAGATAGAAAAAGGTTACGTTAGGTTAGCTTAGGTTAGGTTAGACGTCCCCCAGGGGGTAGCGGGGCGTCTCGTCCTGTCGAAGATTTCCCCACAATGAAAAAAAAAAAAAAAAAGAAAAGTCAGCAAAAAAGAGGTCCCGGGGCCCTCCATATAGCCCCAGTGCTGGCCACCGTGGGGGTTTTAGCGGGTAAAAATCCCGCACTACCTCCGACCCCTCCCCAGGGGGACTGGGGGTGTCTGAAAGATTTCCCCTACGTAAAAAAAAGCGTCAGCGAAAAAGTACTAATAAAAAAAGGCCTGAATGACTTTAGTCAGTAAAAAATAACTATCTATTTCATATCTGAAAAAAACAATACTCCTGGCAGCCTGGAAGGCCTTAGTCATTGAAAAAATATGAATATTAAATTATTTTTCGGCTCTGCAGAGCTCTGTATGGACCTTCGTGCGGGCCCTTTATGGCCCCCGCCATAAAGTAATTTGTGCAGTTAATGCACCGCCTCTTTCGCGCATCAAGACCAGGTCGATGTCCCGGATTCGAGCCGACAGACGTTTCCTTTCGGACGCGTTTTAATATCTCAAGCATTAATTTCTTTTTGCGGAAAACACACTGTCCCCGTCGCCGCTTTGTCTTCGCGCACCTCTGCTCGTTTTCCCTCCCCTATTCCACCCGTGTCTTTCGTCCTCCTCCACGACGATTCGTCCTTACGCCGGATGACAAAATGACAAAGGAGTGGTCGCCCCGGGCCAGCGATATTACCGTTTCCGTTTCGGAACTATGCGAACCGTCTACACCCCTCTGGGCCGCGTATTACGGCCGAAAACGTCTCGTGATTGATTATGCTCGCCGTACTTTTGGCTCGTATACCAGCACCCTCCGTGGCACGCGATTGATGGAGAGACTGCGAAAGGAATCGCAACCTCGGCAAACGATCGAGATGTCGTTAACGGCTCTTTCAACGATTCCGAATTTCCGGAAAAAGTATAACGAACTAGGCCGAACCTTCTGCATTAACCCCCCCATTATGCACACTATGAAATTTTGTATTATTTACCCTCTATTCACATTTGCTATTCTGAAAAAATCATTCCAAAATTTCTGCCTCGATTCGATCACTTTTCCTCTACAGCGGAAATTGTTGTACATTTCCGTAAATAAAATTACAACGTAATGGTGTTATATACATTTCGTGTAACGACACACGGTCCAATTGCAAACACATTACGACGCACTCGAACACACAGTAGAAGGTTTAACCGCAACAAAGTTACCTCGAGCGTAAATGTTTGAACGACTTCAATAAAACGCATTCATAACACGAACGAAGCCAATATAACGGGAACGCGTGATCCTCGCACGATGCAAATGGAAGAGTAGGATTTACATAACATTCAACAAGTGATCATCGGGGAATATCGCGGTTCATTTAGAGGCGACGACGAGTTGCGCGTACAAGACGGCAGAGATCGTAGCAACGGGGCAATCTCGAAATTCCCGCAACCGTGGAGGAACAATCGCACCGAAAAAAAAAAAAAAATAGAAAGAAAAGAAAAGGAAGAAAAAATAAACAGGTACAGGGGGTAAAGTACATTAAAGCGGACTTCATTAAGGTCCCCGTGGAAACGCGAACAGCGAGAAAAGAAGAGAAAAAAGCCGGACAAGCGAGAAGTGTGAAAAGGAAAAAACCCAGCGAACCTGAGAGACTTGGCGAGGGGGTGTAAAGGAAGATGGCGAGTGTTTATTTAGTTAAATGCCGCGTGTAATTGGGTGTAAGACTATTTTTGTTCGGCGACGAGGCGACGTCGGTGGTCGCTAGGAAAAGGGCCAACTCTCGTGACGGTAGCGAGCGGAAGGGCGAGGAAGCGAAGGCGAAGGCAACAACCCTCGCGCCCGCTTTCCACGCTCGAGCTTTCCACCCCTTTTTCCGCGTGCTGGCAGCCACCTGATGGCTGGCTGGCTGGATGGCACAAGGGCCCGCCGGGAATGAGATGCAGATTGCCAGAGGCCACTTCACCCGCTAGAGGGAGTGAATTTTTAATAACACCGTGCCCGTATCCGCGGTCCCGCGTAGAATCCCATTGTCTTGGCCGTGTCGTACGCGCTGGAAAAAGGACGAACACGGACGCGATGCGTACCGCGGACGAGTATTATTATGGGAGGAGGAATTGTCAGTGACAGGACGAGGCTGAATCTACGGGAAACCACCAGGGTCCTTGTACCATCATCCCGGTACACTGGTTACGCGCTCGTAACGAGTGTTCGCTGCAACTGGAGGTCAAAAGTGACCGACCTCGCGAATTCGTTTCAATCGAGCAATTTAAAAAAAGGGAAAAATCTCAAGTAAATTTGTTAAGTTTGTGTGTTCTGGCGCACTGTACCTTTAAATTATATAGCAAATGTTATCTCTGCCTTTTTGTCGTTAATAATTTATTTCGAGTGTTCTGCCTTAACCCTTTGCCGTACAACATCCTGTCATACTCGTGACGCAATTTACAGGTGAAATGCGTTAAATCTGGGTGATACTTTTAACATGGTTGAAGTTTGAGTCTATGTATGCATAATATTTCATTTTTCTTTATTTATTTTAAAATTAAAGCAATGAAGTTAGCTATGACTGAAGCAACTACCGAACAAATCATAGGCGAAGGGGTTAAATCTATTGTGTAGTGTTTATATAATTATTTTGTGTCCGAAGGTAGGAAATGGTAGGGAAAGACCGCTGCCAAATGAAAATTAGTGAGAAATGTTGGCGGTCACCGTGCCCTATCTTTTGGTCACGCCTTAGGGAAATCCTAGTCATCCCAGATATCGGTAATCGGGTAGTACATACCGTTTTAAATATTTTGCCTGTCCCTTACTTGTCCCAGATAGCAGAAAGCGTTTATGACACGTTCACTGCTAAAGAACAAAAAATGGGACTAAACGCTTAATTTCAATTAGATGTTGGGGTTTTTCCACGATATAAAATTTAATATGCCGTTGTAATAAAATCTACATCCTAGGAGACACGTCTGGATTGTAAAACTAAATTATGTAGTCTTAATCAAATTCAATGTGTTGTTGTAGGTGAAACACACAGAAGATCATGGACGAGTTAACAATGAAAATGGCTCGCCATTGAACACCTTTCTGGAAGACGTTCTTAAAGCACAGGATGATTTGAAATGGATAGATCAGGTTGTACACAGCACTGATCACCGGAAACATGAGGACTCGTTCACTGGATCGAACAAGTATCCAGCAACGCCAAATTTCGATGTAACTTCTTCGCACGGAGGTAAGAAAGTGCGCGACAAAAGAAGTTTCCTATGGAAGACAAACAGAAAGAAATCGCGCGATCAAGATCCTTCTGGATCTCCTCAGAGAGTGTATCTTGACAGTGACATGCCTTTTGAAAAAAGTCCGGACTCCGATTATGAGGATACGTCTCAAAATGGGTAAAAATTTTCTGCAGTTAATTGAGATATTGATTTGGTATCGAGGAATCGTAATCGCGATGCTTTTTTTCAGAATAAATGGAAAAGAGACTCCTGAATACAAATCAAGCAAATCTCTGAACGAAAAAGATATGACAGGCGATCAATTGCCAAAAGACTGGTCCAATACGAAGGACATCTGTTCCTTGAACGATTGGTTAAATTCAAACAAGAATTTTAAAACGGAGCAGGATAAACGAGACTACGAATCCGATCAGGGAAATCCCCTTAGTACGTATCATTAATCTCGATTTTATTCCTCGCGTAATTTTCATGATTTATAAAAGAAAATTAAACAGGTCCATTAAAAACGGATTCGCGATTCAACGTGAGAAATCAACGGGACGAGACGAAGAAGGAGGAATCGCCATCTTTGGAGTCGCTTAAAGAGACGATACTGGAATTAAAGAAAAGTTTAAACGAGGATGGCAAGAAGGAGCGCCAAGCGAAAGTAAAGGAGAAAGAAGATGCGAAGGAACGAAATACCCGGGGCAAGAATAAACACAGAAAACACGAAAAGAATACAGGTACTCGCACATTTTTCATTACCCTTTGTAGGAGAGGGGAGAAAAAGGCGTTTCGTCTCGGGATCGTCTGTCAGACTCGTCCAGTAGGGGTGGCAACAGTCGACCCCTACCCCAGACACCTATCACACCACAATTCGGAACTTCTATATATTTGAACTGCATGCCGGGCGACCACTAGCGAGAACACTGATCATTTCGCCGCCATCTAGCGGTCCCCGGCCCGAACTAAAGGCGTCCGAGGGACGAAACCCTCTCCCCCCTCCACTAAACGCCTATACTTCAGCAAATTCTGACAAATGTGACCGCCCTCGGTCACGCGCACAGAAAATCACAAACAAACCCGAGGGTAGCGGAATCACCACCAAATCAATCTAAATCGTAAATCATAAATCATAAACACGTCAGGCGAACAACAGCGCGTCACGCAGGGACGTATTTCACTTCTGAAGTTATAGGAGAGGGGAGAAAAAGGCATTTCGTCTCGGGATCGACTGTCAGACTCGTCCAGTGGGGCTGACAACAGACGATTCCTGTCCCAGACACCTCGAAATTCGAAACTTCGATATATTTGAACTGCATGCCGGGCGACCGCTAGCGAGAACACGGTCACCGATCATCTCGCCGCCACCTAGCGGTCCCCGGCCCGAACTAAAGGCGTCCGGGGAGACGAAACCGTCTTTTCCCCTGCACTGAACGCCTACACCTTCAAATTTCACACATTCTTTACCTTTTTACAGATTCCAGCGGGTCGGACACTTCGGAACCAGAAACGTCCGATCTAAAAAAGCGTGAACAGGATGGTGATGACGTTAATGAGAAGAAAGCAGATCGAAAATCGTGGAGAAGAAAAAGGACCGAGGATAATAACGAGGATGATAGCCCGAAACTCTTCCACCGCGCGGGGTTTGGGGAGTCGTACCTTGAAGAGGAGACTCTAAAAGAGCTTCATGACCGTAAAAGACGCAGCAAAGGAATCTTGTCAGACGAGAAACATTGTTTGGACGGATCTTGTGATAAAAACAACTCACAAACAGACGAGAAAGATCCGATGAAAATGTCAAAGCAAACCGATTGCAATGACCTGGATGATTCCAGCAAAAAGGAATCCAATGATTTGCAACCGAACGATGCTTTCCAGCAAAATAGTAAACCAATAAACAATTTCGAAGATACCTCGAATCTCCTTCAGAACAGCAAAAACATGGATGTAATTGGAAATTACGATCATGGTAATCAGATGGAAAACAAATTGATGAAGGATGAGGCAAAAGGAGATTCTTTGGATATTTTCGGTTCTATGTCGAACGAATTGCACCCTGCTACCGGCAGGACTTTAACTCTGAGCACAGACGACGGTGACAAAGTTGAAGAAGCCAGAATGCAGCAACTGAAAGTTTTCCAACCTGAAGACAACGATCGTGCAAAACCTTTTCAGCAATTACCGCAGGAGAAGAGGTCTCCAAAGGACTCTGACAACGTTAATATCCTTGTCAAATCGGAGAATAAAAATTTAATTAAATTTAGCAACACTGGTGGCAATGAAAATTCAGGGATCAAAGGTGAACAGCCATACATGCTGAACACATTCAACATGAAGAAGAAAGTGTTCGTGGAAAATGAGGACAAACATGGAAAATCAGTGGCCACGGTGTTTAACGTGAAAATCGAGAAGGCACAAGTTGATTCACCTATGAAGAGTAATAATAAACAAGAACGAATGGGAGGAGAAGAGCAAATTCCATTTGCTTCGCCCAATTTGGGGAAGGATAAGGCTAATGAACTTTATGAAAACAAGCATGACTTAACGAATGATATTAATGATATTAATCAAAGGAACATTGATGAAAAAGGAATCAATTTTGTTGAGATTAATAAAGGATCAACAGAGAGCAGCGGGAAAGAAGGAACTCAAAACTGGTATAAGAATAATAATCAGTTAAATATGAACGATCAAAATGTAGTGGGGAAGGATCTGTTTGGAAAGAAAGAGGAAAAATTAAGTGATAATAAAATGAGGAAAGATTCTATTGATAGAACAACTTCAAGTGATATAAGTTCCTCCAATCTTGAAGACAAATCAGTAAATTCCGAAGAGAAGAACAAGAGAAAGTATACTCAGATAGTGATAGTACCCGAGGGGTTGGACGACCGGAAGCTAAATGACATGTATACCCAGAGAAGAATACTCCAATACATGGAATACTCGAATGACGATGTCGAAGAGGCAAACGCGAGTTACAGCGACAAGGAAGAAGATGAAAATCAACGGCAAGCTGGTAAGTAAAAAAATAAGTTAATCATAAATAGATTGCGGAAGTTTATGCAGTGAATATGCAGAATATTGGGTGTACAAATTAATTCGGTGCCTTTTTTTTCTTTAATTAATTATTTATTTTTATCGTTATCAATATCATATTCTCGCGCCATTTTTCAAATTCACAAAAGCGCGGGAAAAGGTCGAATTTAAAATAGTAACTAAGAAGGTGTAATATTAAAGGTACCAAATTAATTTGTACAACTAATGTATGCAGGGTACAATTGATGAATAAGCATTTGCGTACGGAATAGAAAATTTGTATAATTGTGTTTAAACAATACATTTAACATTATTTGTGCATTACACAAATTATTATAAAAATAATTATTAAGTTTTTTAACATACAGAGCAATGTAACATGGACATCAAAATTTTTAAATGTTTTTGCAACTATACTATGAAAATTGAACAATTTAATTATTAACTATATTACTATTAAACTATTGTAGTATACACATACACATTGTACATACGTGTATTATTTTATATCTAGGTTTTACGAATAATTGAAACCACAGTTGTTTAACTAAATTGTAGACTTACAATGACAAAAGTTCTAGCAATTACTCGAGCTAATTAGTGAACAAATTTTGTATACGCAAGAAGTATAAAGAATATGCAAAATAAGAAACTATATTTTTAAAATCTCCTAATTTTGAAACATATTTCTGCAAAATCTCATTTATTTTTCTAAAACATTTGCGTAAACTTTCGCAGTCTAACCATAAATCTTGATATTTTTTTAGAAAAAAGTAGCGCATCATTGAAAAGAAAAGGCCGAGCCGCCGTGCGCGATAAAGGGAAAGCGAAAGTGAACGTACTGATTAAAGAGAAGCTGGACAAGAGAAAGAAATACGGTCGGGATTCCACGAGGAAAAGGCGTAATCCAGTAAGCGTGATCGAGTATTACGATTACGATAGCGATAACGAGCAACGGGAACACGAGACTGGTGAACAAGAACGACTTAAAACTAATTATGACAAGAACCCTATCGAATCCGATGCGGGACTTGGTAATTTCCCCCATCATCGACAAATCTTACTATACACGTTACACTACACATACTTGTATTAAGATCTATGTATGAAGAAAGTAAAAAAAATTGGTGATCCATTTTTCATTTTCTCGGTTGCAACAGAAAAAGGGCAGATCAAACATTCTTGCCTATCGCCGGCTACGAAGAAAGACGAACAAGAGGAAGAGGTACTGAAGCTGAAGAAACTAAAGAATAAACAGCCGAAACAGGAATTCATCGTACACGACAGTGAATCTGAACCTAAAAACGCGACCGAGAAAACCGGCGAGAAGAAAAGCTTCGAGAGTTTGTCGACAAGTGAAGAAGGTTCCTCTGTTAAGAGGCCCCAGGAACAATCGGGAAGGTTAGATGAAGGTGAAAGGGTTAATGATACTCAGCATCGAAGGGGTTAATTTTAAGACTAATCAGGGTGTATCAACAGGTTAAGTCAATCGATCGCGGAGAGGGAAGATAAATTCTTAGGGGGCGGTTCGAAGGATCCAGTGACGTATATCTTCACTGCGGAAAAGGACTTGGATCCCGAAATGATCGATGATATTTTGGAGGATATTCAGTCAATAGATAGAAAGTATGTTCATTCAGGGATTTATACAAATATTGAAAATACCACTATATAATACCGGTATTACAAAAATCGAGATACCAAAATACCGGTATATTTACCTTTATTTTTCCCGTTTTCCTTTTTCAAAAAACTTTCAACATTTTTCTTAAACAGAAGCTTAAAACGAATGGATTTTATACGTGATGTTATGTTAATTACGTTGGGAAAGTCATAACAAAACCGATAGATACATACATAATACCAAATTAAAAATAATGGTCAATATTTTCATGTTTTCATTCACTTCTTGTACAATTGGAAGTAATTTAAACAATGATTATAAATTGCGAGCAAAAACGAGTTTAATAATTATATTATATTAATGATACAATGTTTCAAACATGCCGATCTGCATAAACTTACTTTAAAAGCAGTTCAGATTAGATTAAAGTTTAATTTACAATGTCATCGAAGAAAAAAATGTTTAAATTTCGATATTTATTTCGGTTTTAGTACTCTAATATTTTCGGTTCTCGTTTATTTCGATACTATAACAGTTTCAATATTTGTCTATTTCCGTAGTCTATCGATTTTGGTATTAAACCGCGGTGAAATGACCGTTTTTCAAATTTCGTTTAGAATTTCCTGCATTCGACGTTATTGTGTCACCATTTAACTTCACGATTTTTCTTAATATTATGTATTCTAAATATGAGAAAATATTTTATTCACTATGTAATTGTTCATAATCTTCACTCTACATTCAGAAATATATCTTTCTTAAAGCCCTTATTTAACCGCCCATGGTAGAAATAGGTATACACGAAGTGTGGATAGATTTAGTGTTAAAGTCCCTGAATTTAACACCAGAACTACCGATGTTTGATGTACATTTATTTTTAAGTTAAAAATAATGTTGATTACGAAAGAGATAAAGGATGAAACATAATTTAATATAAACAGCCAATATACATTTCAATAAAAATACCTCGATAAAATTGATAATTTAAAATGAGGAAATGGAAACTAGTCATTTTAACCCCTTTGATAGTTCTAGTGCTAATATCCAAATTTCCGAATTTATTTCACAGAAATGAGAAAACGTCTAACTTCGAACCATTGTACGAAGAGTTGAAGAAGATATACGACTGGAACCAGGACGAGTTGCAAAACAAACCGAGGATTAAAGGCGATCACAGAATGTATTACGGGGCCAATGACAAACTAGATCCAACTAATAAGATGTCCGAATCATTGGCAGGTCAAATCGAGGTTCCGGAGACTGAAGGTGTGGCTGAAACGTTTGATAAAATCTTAACACTTTAAGTGCCATTGTAATTAGATCCTCGTGGCACTCAAAGTGTTAATTAACAATCCATTCAAATGAAAATTTCAAATCCATACCACCTCGACTACGATCAACTTCAGCTTCTAGCCCGAACTTATTGCCTCTTTTGCTCGTTTACAATGGATCAGGGAGATCGGTAGCTGGGACGAAAACGTGCTCGACCGAGTCATCCGATCACCCCGAGAGCCGATCGTCGAGCAACGTTTCACAAAATAATTATTTCGCCCTTAAAAGCACGGACGATATGTTTAAAGGCGGCTCGGAGCAAAGTAACAGCACGGAGGTAAAATTACGAGAACCCAGCTCTATCGGCACGGTGGTTGAATGGCGAGAGCAAAAAGTACGAAAGAAAAACACTTAAAGAATAAACCTAAGCATTTCCAATAAATTATTACCCCGACTTACCTTCTTTCGCTCTATAAACCTTGAATCGGCCAGGTGAGCGGAGTGAGTAACGAGCCGGCCCGAGAAAAAGATGCCGGCAGCTGGTCATTAACGGGCCGCGGGCAATATATTGACACAGATTCGCGTTCTCCTTACGAAAATCGTAAATATCTGGAATCACGGTTGCCCCGGGAACGCGTCCAAAATATAGATCGCGAGAAACAGACGGTTATTAGCTCCGGAGACCTGCACGAATCCTTCGTGGAGCCTTTGGACTGGAACGACGATTTCGACGAGGATACGAGGCTGAGATTGAGCCGAAGTTTAAAAACGATCGATCGAGACAATCCCGAATCGTCTAAGGACAAAATCGACCACTTCGGAGCTGACTCGGTTACTAAAGTCGAAGATGGAGAAAAGAGAACGTCGACTTTAATTACCGAGCGGGCTCTGCTGAATGTTTCCACTGAGATTTCGAAAATCCCGGATAGCACGATGAGAACAACATCGAAATTGGAAGATTCTCAGCTTGCTCTTCTGCAGTATCCTCCTTTGGATTTGCTGGAATTATTTAATAAGAATACCAATCGAATGAAAAGGCAAGCTCCGCTGCCTTACGATACGTTTTATGACGATACGAATGAACCGCCAGCTGATTCAGAGAAATTAGATTACTATGGATATCCGAAGAAAGGAGGGAGGATGAACAATCCTGTTCAGTCTTTGATTTCCAAATCGGATGAGGGAATGGAACGGTACGACACGATGGAGGATGAAAATTATGGGAAAGTGGCTAGACGAGCAAGGTCGAAGAAGAAAAAGAAACATAAGAAGAGAAAGAAACAATATTCAGACGAGTTGAAGAAAAGGAAGAAGAAAGATCACACGAAAAAGTCCAAGCATTCTGGTCGTAGAAAGCGAAGACATCCGAAGAAACATTCGAATGCTTCTAAAAAGGACCACGAACATGGTCGGAAACACAAGAAACGAATGTCGAAGACTGCAAATCATCACGGAAATGGCAAAAAGAGCAAAGTCGATGATAAGGGTCATAATAGTCATCAGGAACCTTCTGTAAATGAACGAAAGACACGTCGAGAGAAAATGTACAGCGAAAATGTAAGTAACAGGAAAATGATTGTTATTGATCCATGAAATACGTGAATGATAGGTAATATATAATACAATTTGAGAAAAGGATCGACGGTCATTTTTTAGGCAATAAACGTGGATAGTGATAGACAGAGAAAAAAGATCTCCTCGCTGTTAACGATCGATAACGTCGAAGATGAATCGCAGATGGACTCGGCTCTTCATGGCGAGCTTGCTGGAAAGATCGTGGAACACATTTTTGATCAGGTATCTTTCTAACAAGGAGAGGGTCCCAAGTGTGACGTTAACTTTTTGATGAGCTATGATGATGCACAATGATAGAGCTTGAAAAACTGAAGCTAATGATACCCGGTTTTGGGCGCAGACGGTTATTAATTTATGAAATATTTAATGTTAAAATTGTTACCCTGCTTATGACCTGAAGTATAGGAAGTCTTCAACCCAATGCGACAATGTTTCTTGTCGCGAGTTCAAATCCCGTTGGACAGATTTTTTCAACATGTTACAATATTTCACTTTTTCCTTTTTTTTTTTTAATAAATATATTTTTTTGCTATTATAAATGAATAATAAATATTTTTGAACAATGTTTTATATTTTTAAACAATTTTATTTAATTATTGCTTTGAATATAAGTTGTACATGGACCGGGATGTTTTTATAAAAAATATTATAACAAAATATTTTTTGTTCGAGACAAAAAACAACCACCTACCGAGAGGCCGACGCCTTACCGGTAACGCTACGATCCTTGTTCAAAAGATTTCCTATACTTCAGATCATAAGCAGGGTAATAACTTTAACATTAAATATCTCATATACTAATAACATTAGCTTCATTAGCTTCAGTTTTTCAAGCTCTATCATTGTGCAAAAGCTTATCAAAAAGTCAGCGTCACACTTGGGGCCCTCTCCTTGTAAGCTGTTTACTTGATTATCTGAGACGATATCGTTATGTTCTTCTTAAATAATTAGGTTCAAAAGAACGAGGACCTAAAAGTATCCTTAGGACCAGGTCTGTATCAAGAGCACAAAACTCAAGATACAGTATCATCTGACAAGACGTATCGTCAAGCACTCAGCAATGACGAAGTACATTCATCAACATTCTTTTATTTTTTAATAATAAATTACGCTTTAAGGTACTAATATATCGGATGATTTTTATAATTCGACAGATCAATCACACGACAGAATTGTTAAACAAAATTATGCTACTCCTGAATCGATTAATTTTCGACGAAGTGCAGCGAAAAACCTGCGTCTCCTTATCCCCGGATTTAACAGAATTCTTGGATTGGATGCTGGACGTGAATCCAAGACGAAATTCCATAGCACAAGTAATCTATACGATACACGAGTTCCGGCAAACTTTCTGAACATTAAATTCCATTTTAGCTACCATCTTTGCCATTGGTCCACGCGGTGGACGTTCCAACTCATTTTCCAAAGGACAAGTTTCTCTTCGACGGTTCTCCAAGTGACGAAAAGGAAGCTGAATACAGTGAATTACGCGAAAAGCTTCGATTGATCGAGAAGTTGATTAACGAGTACAAAACACTGTCGGAAAAGGAGAAGACGAAGGTTCAGTCGGTTCACGATTACCTGGTGAGTTATTAATAGAGGTGTGCGAGTACTCGATTTATTCGAATATTCGAATTTCGAGTCGAACAATGATCGGTCGGTCGAATTGAATTTGCCGAATTACTCGAAATCGACGAACTGTTTGAAACAAAAGCGAGCTACTCGAAAAAATCGAACTACCCAAATAATCGAGCTGGAAATTCATCTTCAAGTAAATCGAAATTTTACGATTCTGAGTAATTCGGCAAATTCAAGCGCTCGGCTCGGCTCGAACAATCGAAGCGAGTTCAACTCGGCTTGTAAATTACGAGTACTCGATTTGTTTAAGTACTCGAATTTCGAGTCGAACAATGATCGGTCGGTCGAGCCGAATCGAGCGATTGAATTTCCCGAATTACTCGAAATCGACGAACTGTTTGAAACAAAACCGAGCTACTTGAAAAAATGGAGCTACCCGAATATTCGAGCTGAAAATTCATCTTCAAGTAAATCGAAATTTTACGACGGCTCGAATATTCGAGTAGCTCGCTTTTCTTTCAAACAGTTCGTCGATTCCGAGTAATTCGGCAAATTCAAGCGCTCGGCTCGGCTCGAACAATCAAAGCGAGTTCAACTCGGCTTGTAAATTCCGAGTACTCGCACACCTCTAGTAATTAATACTAACTTCAATGCCGAACTTTCTTTGACTAACGAGGCAAATTATCAGTCGAAGCAGCTGGATTTGTTACTCGAATACGTCGAAGTAAATGAGAAAAAGCGATCGGCGTCTTCGATTGGATCAGCCAAAGGTGGAAGCAAAATGATCGTTCAGTATCAAGGAGGAATGACTAATATTACTAATCATGGTCGTTCGAAGGGGGCAAGTATGGTCTCTTCAGCCGGATTCCTCGCGGATGAGGAATACTTTCCCGAGGGTAAAGTACAAGAAGCTCGGTCTCGTTATTCGCGGCATTCATAGAGATTTGAAAGCTCATGAACATATTTGATGTGCTCCAGACGGGCTGGACTTTTTCCATAAAGGGCGCAGAACAATCCGCAGTCTGGACAAGCATTCGAAAGCTGGTAAGAAGCAGAGAAAACGCGGGAAACGTAAAAAGAAGCATCGTGAACGGCACAAAGGTGGCAACGCTATTGATCAGCCACCACATAAGGACACCTTGCACAATGCCATCGCGTTGCGACAAAAACGCGAATACCTGGACAAAGAGTTTCGGGATTCCTTCGACTCGGAATACGAGGAACCGCTAATTTATAGTTCAATGGACTTTGAGAACGCTGAAACGAAGAAACGCGACGATGAGGCTAAAGAGAACCCCGAAGATGAAAGTGGTAGAAAGTATGTCTTAATTTTTGTATAATGCTGGGTTGCCAACTCGAAATCTTGGGTTTGAAAAAAGCCAAAAATATTTATTTTGTTAAAATTGCAAAAACACCAAAAAGCCACATCATTTTTTCAAAGCCAATGTAATTTAAAAAATGGCAAATTTTTGGAATTTGGCCTAAAAAAAGCAAAGTTGGCAATCCAGGTATAATGATGGAATAACATGTGTCATTACTGCTGAATTTTTATACAAGTACGTTAATTGGAGATGTGGTAGAAAAGAAGTTAACGAATGAGAACATGGAAACCAGCACCAAGATTGAAAGAGACACCACGACAGCATCGACCAATTTGCAGTTATCAAAAAGTAGTACGTTTGATCAAAAACATCAGAGTAAGTAAATTTAAATAATTCTTCCATTTAATTTCGTTCTATTGACAAGATGATAAATGCATGTTGGTAGCTGACCCAGTGCTGCGGGAGGAAGAGCCGATAACAGGAAAGGATCAACTGGAGGACGAGATAATTCTGCTCAATAAACGACAATCGTGGAAGAAACAGAACGAGGAACAATTGGAGGAGGTCGCATTCGGGGAGGACATGAGGAAGGGATTGGTGGAGAAGGAGCTTTTCGAAAAATTGACTGAAATCGATAAGAAGAAAAATTCAGCAGAGAATGCAAGAACCAAAAGGAAAGATGATGAAAATAATCGAAATGGTAATTACAATTTATCAGACGAGGACAAACTGAGGATGCTCGAAGAGAAGATAAACGTTTATTCAGATAACAGATGATTAAGAATAAAACGAAAAGACAACATAAAGCAAGATTTAAATGAAAAAAAATAATAATAATAATAAAACCGTGAAAAATGAATCAATTTCGACGCAGCTAGATATTAATTAATCCTACTTTTATACTAATTGTACGAAATGAAATTTGTAATAAATTTTATTAACGATACTAACGGAAGTTCCAATCAATTCGCCCGAGTTTAGGTATTGTTCTAATTGTATCTTCCGATCGTTTCACCCTTTCATCGATTCCATTTAATTATCCTGTGCGCCACGTCCGATCGTGTATATAAATAAAGCGATAATTCAAGTAGAACAGTGGTAATTCATAGGTGGAGTAATTGTATTTGCGAGAGAATGGTGCGAGGCTGTGCGTAATATCGCAACGAACCCCGGCTAGGTTCCCGTGGTTGCTTGACAGCGGCCGTCTAAATAATTTCATCAGATACATCGATCGTCGATGAGCTTTATCGTAATTGACACATTCGCTCTATCTGGCGGACAGGCGAGGCCTGTGAAACCTCGTAAATCGTCCTGTCGTTGCGATCAACTCGACGCTCCTCTCGTATGTTTGCACGCGAGTACAACGCCCCTGCTAATCTATGTACGAAAACTGTCGAAAGCCCGGCGATTACCTTCGGCTAATTGCTGTTCACCAACTAAGCGTGCTGTACCAGCCAATAGATTCCGGTGTTAAGTAAACGAGAAGGTTTCCTTTAAAATCGTTAAGCGACTGATCCCGAATTTCAAAGCCTACGGGGAAAAAAGTCGAAACTTTCGCGATTCTTTCCAACGATTCCTTAATCTGCCTAGATCGACCGCAACTCCGACGGCAAAACTGATTAAATCTCGCCACGAAGAAGGAGCATATCTCATCGCGGTCTCCCGAACTCGCGGCAAAAGCAGAGAGAAAAAGAAAACAGGGAAACAGGAAAAGAAAACAATAAAAAAAAAAAAATATGCATTTTCTCGTCTCTGCACGAAATATCTGGAAAGTTTTCTCGTAAAGTAAGTCCACGTAGCAGAATTCCCCCGGGCCAATTAAAGTCCCGAAATCGGACGCGCTCGCTTATGCAGGCAAGGCAAGGGTAAGGCGGAATACGGAAAAGGGTGGGACTCGAGGAAGGAAGGAAGGAAGGAAGGAAGGAAGGAAGGAAGGAAGGATCTAACCACGCTCGACGAACGTTATTACTTATTCGACTCAAGGATTTTAAGGGTGGCCGACACGCGGATTTATTTAGATATTCCAACGGTGAGCATCTGCTCGAGCTTCGACTATCAGCCTCTCTTTGTCCGCCGCGCTTTTCCTCGCTCTCGTTTTCGCTCTTCTTTCGACCCGGCATTAATATACACGGAGAAACGACGCGGGGAGTCCGCGTCTGCGACCAGGACTCCGGAAACCCTCGATATTTTTACATAACATTAAGTTGTCGCGAGTCCTGGCCCTCGATGTTCAAGGGGTTGGGTCACTAATGGGGGTTAAAACGCGTAAACGCATCCAGAGAAATTTCACCGATCGACTTTCATCCCTTTACGCCCATTCAAAAACGACGCACCTTACGATTTTTCTAAAAATAGAACTCTATTAAAATTCTGGTTTTACTCCCCCCAGCCTAATCAATCGATCGTTATTCAAAAGAAGCAGCAATCATCATCGATGGAGATTCAGGTGTTTTCAAGGAGGCGAGCAACCGTGATGTATGAATATCGAGGTAGCTACCTTTCAGAGCTGCTCTGATACGATTTTATACAAACGAAGAACCGAAGAATGGTGCATGCACAATCATAAAAGAAGAAGACACGATTTCGTGGATATAATTCTGGTGGTTCGTTCTGCGACGAGTACACATTGTTCGACACATTGCACCGCGACATCGAAGCAATCGTTAGTCACGCTTATCCACGTTTTTCGACTGCTGATCCCCAGTCGACGACCTCGATTCACTGACGGCCTATCGATCCTCGTTGGAACGAGTCGAATGCAAATCGTGGCTCTTAATTGGAAAATGAATTCGACTACGGGACACGATTATTCACGAGAGCGCGCGACTGTCGGTGGCAACTAGTTTCGATGCCACCGCACCGTTTATGCCAATTGTTTCCAGATACGGAATTGTTTCTGTCCCTTATGGTCGGGCTACTTGCGAAAACGTTTATTAACGCTAACTTTACCGTCTTGTTGCTCGTTTCAACAAATTATTTGTATTAAGGGTAAGGTCCTTCCTTAGGTGTATTACGTTGAGAACAAGAGAAATAAAAAAGGTAAGGAACGGTCGAACGAAGGTTGGGGGAAAGCAAAAGGCACGGAGTGAAAATGCTGGTGGAAAGAGAGAAAAGTGGGTGGTGGTTGGAACGTTGGGACGGGATCTGGCACGCACCCCCGAATGACAGATGGTATTTTCGCGTATCATGATCGCGGCTAGGATAGTTTCCTATATCGTGGAATATACAGCCCTGGCCTGGCATCGTCGACATGTCGATAGCAGGCCTCGCCGTGCGATACATCCACCGATATCCCCGTACCATGGGTATCCGCGGTCCATCCCCTTCGTTCGACCGCTAAATGGCCAACCGGAGCCACCCCCATGGTGCTCAATTATTGATACTTACCCCTCTAGCCGCCCTGGCTGCATGTTCTCCGATCTGATGCGTTGCTTTGCGTCCTTCCATCCTGTTCACACGTCCGCATCATCCTGCGACCAAAGTTGTCCATTCGAAAATTCACCTGGAAGCAGAAAACGGGCGTTAGAAAATTAGGAAACAAGAAATCTTCCTGTTTCGTCGAGTTCGTTCTAATCAAGATGAGCGGATAAGAGGAGGGAACGATCTGCGCGTAGAGGAACGAGCGGAAGTTTCAAAAGTAGTACGTAGTTCGAAAGTTGTTGAATCGAAGGGTAAAAGGGGAAGGGCTGAGAACCGCTGTGCTCGCAATGGCCTCGATTAACCGTTTGACCGGCTAGAACGAGTGGTCAACGTTTTCCAGACGCCTAGCTCGTCCTATTAAATCTACAGGAAGCCTGCTACAGATATCCCGAGTCGGACGGGTACCGTTTCAATGTTTCTTTGCATCGAATTCTGGACGAAGCTGGTCCTTTCGAAAAGATAAAAAAAAAAAAAAATCAAGAAAACGAGTCGTCCACTGATTAAAAGTTCTCCGCTCGATATCGCAGGAGTTTCTTCGCTGAATCCGTTCGATTAGAAACCAAAAACCGATATCGACTCGACGAAAGAAAGAAGAAAATAAAAAAGAAAGAAACACAAAATAGAAGAAAGAAGTGGAAGAATAGAAGCGAAGAGGTAAATGCAAACGAACGTGGCGCTATCAATGCCATTGAAAATATGATCTAGCCCCACGGTCTTTCCGTAAACTTTAGGAAGCTCGTCTATTCGAAGCTCGTTCGTCAAGCGAGCCGAAGAAGACGAAAAGAAAAGGAGCAGCCTCCATAAAGCGATCGGAGGGAGCGTTCGCCGTTTCATCCATAGACACGGGACTCTCTCTTTCTCTCCTCTAAGTGTATTAGACTCGCGTTTCGACTCTGTGGAAGAAGCCGTGAGGGGGTTGGTGCCGGAGGACGGTTTCGAATGGTGCGAGACGCTGGTCCGAGCCCTGTACCCCGCTAATGGCACCCTCGGGGTATTCCCGGAGAACCCTCTCGTATTTATTATTTAGCGAGGATACCGCTGGAAGGGAGAGAGCGTACGGCTGGCAGGGATGAACAGAGATAGAAAGGAGAGCAACGGAAGGTGACGGCGGGATAGTTGAAGGGAGATAAAAGAGAAGGCGCGAGCAGAGGGTCAACGATGCCAGGCCACGAGGATTTATCCGCAAACATCACACATCGGTCGTGGAACTTCCGTTGAGCACGACTTTCGAGAATGGAGACCGCAGGAAATTAACGGCGACACGTGGTGCTCGGGTCTAGACACGTGTTTAGTCCGGCCGCTAACGATGAAAAATACCGCATCCAATCGAGTTTCGATCGAATCGCTCTTATCGAGAGAACGCGTGCCTCCGATGGATGACTGGGCGATGTTGTCGAATGAAATTTGAAAAATCATCAATGTCCATCGTTAACCACCCCAGTGTACCGACTGTTCAACGGAAATAACGTTACTACCCGATGGAAATTTTGAGTCCATGGTACTGAAAGAACGTCGCAAACGATGGATGAAAATCGAGAAAATGGCATCAATCGAAGGATCGATTCACAGATTACGCGGTGGCAAAACAAGTGGAAAAACATCGGGACGGGACAAAAACAATCAGACGGATGGACGGAGGGTTAGAGGGGAGGGAAATCGGGGAAAATCGGAAACAATTGTCGCTTGTGTAGGCAGAGATCGGGAGAGAGAGAGGTTGCGCGCGCGCAATTTGCGCGTCAGGAAAATGCATGCTTCGATGGCAGCAGCTGCGGGACGTTATTGATACTACATTTCTCCCGATTTGACGAATTGCCGTATTGGACTAATGGTCCGAATACGGAGGCCCTGGCTGGCCGGGCCAACCCTGACTCGCGGCTTCCTAGCGAAATCGTTGACCCACCCCCCGACCCTCTGATAAAACTATAACTTGCTCATAATTCTTCGACATTTCGGTCTGCAGAAGCTGAAGAAGTAGAACGAGAACACGGTCGAAGGAATAGCAAGGGAAATACCGATACTTTTGCTCGGTTTCCTTTTCAAGAATTAATACCACCGAATCGAACGTCTATCACGATTTTCTTAATACGTTTTTCCCTATTTTTCCTCACCGATGCAATCGAAGTTGGACGATTTTAGAACATCCATTATTCGAACACTCTGCAACTAAAACGTTCCATTTTTTGAATAGCATCTATATAGAACAAAAATTGTTGAAACTATCGGGAAGAAATGTTTTTACAAATATAGTACAGGTATACCTACCGAGCGATCGCAGGAGGGCGCCAAGAATCAACGTCACAGAAATACACCAGGGGTACAAATGTGGAAAAATAGGTCGATTAAGAGCCTCGGTTTCCTTCAAGCTGTCTCTTAAAATATTTGGCCAGATCGAAATATAATCTCGAAATGGAGAGGCGAGAAATATACGGAACTGAGAGACACGTGTTCGCGTGTGTACTATCTCTGTCGAAATGAGAAAAGGGAGAGCGAGGTATGCGCAATGATATCGTCGAACGTAACGAGTGAAAATAGAAAAAATCGTCAACAAAGACGAACCGTCGACGAGTATACTCTATAAATATATACAACCAGGGTCGATCTGGCCTCGACCGTCGCGAATCACCGCGGAAACGTAAACTGTTTATAAAATCAAACGGCTCGAATCTTCGGTTAAGTACCAGAGAAGGATACATTCGTCGAACTGTGTAATAAAAGAAAATATTTCGTTTGAAATCACCTTGGAACAATGTACTATTGATAGTTTTGTAAATTAATAATTGGAAGAGTGATTGTTTAATTAATTTGTGGTTTATAACACTAATATGATTATTTACTTGCAGATAGTATGACGTGGGGTTTAATAGCCGCCATATTGCATACTGACTACAACGTGGAATTAAATAATAGAATGTGCCCTATTCCTCGAATATTCATTCATTTGTATATCGACTAATTCAATAGTAGTAAATCATAATACATTCATACGTAACACATACATATAATAAAATGTTATATTGTGCTGAATATTATTATCACTCTTTCCCTCCATTTTCAGATTTCTACATTATTCGATACGCAACAATAATTTGTAAGAAATTACACTCACCAAGTTGATCATCAAGCAGGAATTCATGAAACTTCGATGCACTACAAAGAGGAGACCAACTTCTAACCACACAACACGCGTATCCGTCCACTTTTCCAAATCAATTAACTCGAATTAACTTACAATTAATGTGGCACGTGCACCACTTGGCGTCAACGAACACTTTTCAGGAAGAAAACGTCAAATCAAACGGTTAGTCGGATCGGCGGGCGTCGGTGGCGCCACCTGGCAGCAATATCGTGAACTATATCCCTATTTCAAATTATCTACCGCGAATTATCGGCAACTTGAATTGCACTTTTTCTTTAAAAAATGCAACGTTTTTTTTCTTCTATACATCCTGTACGTTTCTTCTTGATCGATATCGTATTAATTGAATCAACCTAGCACATTTCACCGTGTAAATAATTGATGAACTAAGAATTGAGGATAAATAAGGATTCTCCTTTTCTAATATAATTACGAGCCTGTCGCAATTAAGGCACTCGTATATTATTATTTTCCCTGAACTGATTCAGAAAATGGCCTCGAAGCCAGGGCGAAACGAAACTACATTATGCATAGCGCACCGTTTTTTTTTTTGCTTGCAGCATTCTTGGGATGATAATGGCACCGTTTGAAGTGTTCGCGTAATTAATGAAGCTGAAAAACTTTTGACCCTTAATTACGCTGTCCATTGTACCCGAAGAGTTCTTTCTTTCTCCCTTCCTCCTCGCCGCTGTGAGAATACAGATAAAGAATACGGGCTGTATTGCAATCAACGAATGTCGCATAGAATAAATTATAAAACCTGCAATTAATTGTTTTCGATACCTGATATAATTTTTTAAACTTTTAAAACTTAATCCCCTGGGTACCATGGAGGGACCTAAGCAGACCCAGGCATGGGCTGCTGGACAATTAGGGAAAATTTAAAAAAAAAATATTGAAATAGGTATTCAGGAAAGCCTGAATATTCTAATATTTTGCCATTCATAATCTCCATTGTCCATCTTCCATATAGAAACAACCGCTCAATGAGCATTTGTATGGATGAGCCCATAAACGTTCGCGCGTCCATGTTATTTCGGTAAACACCGCCTTTGGCCATCCCATTGTTTTTAGCATCGGATATTTATGTGGAGCGAGCCGCGGTCGAATGGCAGTGAAAAGTAACCGTCCATTTATGCTGCAGCTGCTGTTCCCTTTCTCGATGATTCATTCAAAGCTTCACTGATAACCAATATCGCGTTACACTTTCGCGCATCGCATTAAACGCGCTACAATGAAACAATTAACGTTCCCCGACAACACGTTTGCGTAATATCCCTCGATTGTTCGCGACAAAACAGCGTGCAATAAAACCTTAGAAAATCGAAACGAGAATAGAGAAACCAACCATCGATCGGTCAGAGACCGTTCTATATTCTGTTCCCGTCGAAGAATCTCGCTCGATAAGAAAGTACCCTTCATCACGGTTAGACAGGGTACACATTTGTTCGAGTAAGTTTAACGAACAATCAAGACCGTGCCAATTGTCTCCAATTACACGAAACGATTGCGTTAATAGGTTACTCCATTGTTCCCTCCCAGAAAATTACACCCTTCAGCTTTAAACGCTCATGAACCGAGTCGACCATAGGTTCGTACCTGCTAATCTATTGTACACTTTGGGAGCCTATCCTTTGTCCAAGTGGATTAGAAAATACCTATCTTTACAAGAATTCCCTAAGCTCGTCCATTCGTTTCTTGGTCACGGCACATCCCAAGTGTACAAAGTCCAAGGACAGTTTTAGTAGGTGAAACTAAAATATGGAGATGGACGAGGAGTTTGCGAATTTAGAGAGGGATACGGCCCTGATTTCATCGCGTTTGACGACGGCAAACGATCTACCCTACCCGGTGAGAGGAATGGAGAGCCACGAGAGTGGGTGGGCCTGACAGCGTTGGTCCCAGAACGAAATCGACGGTCGGGCCTCGAATGGCGGGACATGGCGGGGGCTGGGGAATAAGAGTCGGGGCCCTGAGGGTCCCTCGGTCGGGCTTCAGGCCCGGTACAGCAGTGGAGAGGGGCTCGAGGGGGCAAAGGCACATTCCAAGGCAGAACGGCTGCCAGTGAAGGTGGAAGGCACCAGCAGTCTCTCACGATATTGCGCTCCGCTCCTATCCTCGTCGCTTCCTTTCTTCCCAGCTCGTCGTCGCTCGTTTTCACCCGTCCCCGTGGGATCGTCCTGTGCCAGTGCCAGTGCCGTGCCCTGTACGATGCGATACGCGACGCAAAACGACGCTCGCAATCGAATTAACAAGAGAATTCGTGGTCGACCGTGAAGCGTTGAAACCGACGTGCTCTTAGACAGACGTTTCGTGTACAGTGCGAGTGTTCGTGTGTGCGTAAGGTGGTGGTTGTGGTGGTGGTGGTGGTGGGTCTTTTTTGGCGCCAGCTCGCGTGCTCGTGATTCGAAAATGCGCACGCCTAACGACGTAACCCGGTATTCCAGTGGGAAGACCAAGGAACAGAGACACCGCGTCGAAAATAGACTCTCGCCCTCGTGTTCAGGTCCGTGCACCGATCGTCGGGCATGCGGAAGAAGCGTCAACGGGAGACAGTGATTGAGAGGATCCGGCAGACGGGAGCACTTGAATATTCGATCGCGCAGGTGAGCAACACTGTAGAACATTATCCTGTTCCCTTAACTTAACGCGAACACGCGATGGATACGCGATTCGCAACGTTCTATCGCGTGCGAAGAGAAGAAAATTAATACGTGTATGAAAGGTTGAGAGATTTTTCTCACGATGCATACCTCGTTACGGTATAGGATCGTTAACGAGCAGGAACTTTTTAATAATCGCCAGATGCGTTACATTCCAACCAGGATGCCCCGAAACTCTGGCCTGTATAGCAGAATTTCTGGAAACTGTTGACACAGGCGTTGCGTTTGCCGGTGACGAAGGAAACCGGTATTCGTAGCAAAAGGACCAACGTAGATAGCTTATCTGAATGGTAGAAATTAACAGCGCCAAACGTTCAGATAAAAGTTACCGTCCCACGGTCGTCGATCTTTCCCAAAACCGAAATCCTTCTCACTTTCCGTTTCTCTTGACGTCTCCACGGCAGACGGATAGGTACTCTCGAATGGCTACGATATCTTGTGGTCTATAACCTTGCTGGTTAAATCGATTTTACGATCGCCTGTACAGACTGGGCAAAAAATCTTTGGCGAATATCCGGACACAATCGCGGAGAAGCGTCTGGAAGGGGAGTGGGAGCCCGAGGAAGGATACGGTGGTGCGCGTATCCTCGGTTTTCTGCGTGAACGAAATTAAATCCACGTGCCGCGAAGTATTCCCATTCTTCCAGCGATCGAGAGATCATCGAACGAGAGAAAAACTGAACCGAGTCCGAGCAATGCCATCGGCATCGAACTTGACCGTGGCCTTCGAAGCGTTTGCGCTCGTATAACGAGATACGAGGAATGCGAGTGGCCGAGACTCACCGTCCTGTACTTACCAGGACTACTTCGAACTGGTCGTTGCAACTAGATGCTCGGATACCAAATGTGTTTAAAGCTTAGTCCACACTTGGTTACAATGTTTCCAACCGTAATGCCTCGAAATGGTTAGCCATTTGTTGCAAGTAGCCGTGTATCAAAGCGTTCACTTAACTTAAGGACGTACCGACCGATTTTGCGATCGACTCGGTAGGTAAAACGCTAAAGGGTCCATTAGTCTAAGATGATTTTCTTGAAAACCAGTCGTTAAATAATCCTGCTTCGTGTCAACCGCTAATGGCTAATGAGAGAAGCGATAATACAACGTTTCACGTGGAAACTGGAAGAGCGCGATGAGAAATAATGGCGGGTTTCGCGTGGTTAAATCGATCGATTTTCTGGCTACTGGTAAAAAGATTACAACAATAGTTTACGGCGCTGCTTATTATCGGGATTCGCAACAATCTCTTAACAAGGTAGTACGAAAGAACTTAGAGGGTGGAATTCTTTCGAATAAGTACAATGCCGAACGGTGAATAGCCCGTTCGTCGCAACTCGAGAAGATTCGTCTAATATTCGCCGGGAATATTTATATACAAGTTCGTCGAAAGCCATTCGGCAAAGTTTTAACGACGGAAGGCGGTAATAGGCTGGGAAAGTTTTTCCGCGTTTCCGTGTCGAGAACGGACGCGATATCCTCCGGTTAGCATCGTCCCATTACTCGGACCCCACGTTGCGTCGTAATTGGGAGATTCGTTAGTCCCTTGACCGTCCGTCAGCTTCCCATGGATCATCCGCAAAGCGCTAAAGTCCCGTACCGATAAAATTGTTGCTGTTATTTTTCTTACGCGAGCGTCAAACGTTTGCGCGGACTCCCGCTGTTTCGCGCAATCCTAGCCGATTCGTCATGTTCAACGAGGCGACCGAGCGGAAAACGAATCGCCTCCGCGTCTCTTAGATTCTCGGATAGACGAGGCCGTTACACGATCCTTTCAGAGATAATTAATCGTTCGCCGGTTTTGTTCGGTTCACAGTATCGTGGTCGTGTTTTCAGGTACTAAAATGTCCCAGCCGCAACTGACCAGCGACTTGGATGTTCCGGAAAGTCCGCAACACCCTTGTCAATGCTCCGCGATGAGCAGCATGGATTCCATGAGGACGCAGAGGGACAGAGGGGAAAGGGGCGTGGGAAGTACAAGAATTTCCAACAGCCAAGAACTGCCCAGAGGTCTGGAGGCGCTTCAGAGCGCTTTCGAACCGATAAAAAGACTGGAAAGTCCGTTATCTCATCAGGAAAGCCAACAGATCAATTTAGAAAACACGAGGAACGTGGATATCATGGAACACCAGGCTACCCTGTCGCCTGGCGCGAGATCGTTGGACGGACAGACCGCCATTCTGTCCAGACATGGTCACAATCTTTCGTGTAGCCCGAGAAACTTGGATCTCTCCCGAAACTTGGCGTTCGAGGCTGCGAGAAGAGTTCAGGAATCCGGCAACTTGCAGGACAACCAACATAGCCTAACTTCCAGCCCTAGCCCTTTGCTGGAGTCTAACTCGGCCTTGCTCGAGACGTCCGCGAAAGATCTGGACAAGCAGCTAGATGATCACGCCGGGTTATCGCCAAAGCAAGCCGCTTCGGGTAAAGATAAGCTGAAGAACATTCAGCAGGTCCTGAATCCCTATCAGCACCATCACGAGCCCACGTCACCGGAACGAAACGTTCATGGACATTTCCACAGCGATGCCCACGCACACGTTCACAAACACGCCGACAATTTTCGAGGTGGCACGAATTTAGACGTTGCCGATGGACTGATGGGTTTTCAACAGCACCAACGACAACACACTCATCATCATCACGGAAACACGAAGACTACCAACGTAGCGCATCATCACGGACCCACGACCGTGCATCACCCCCATGGCCCGCAAGCAATGACGGGGCACCATCATGGAAACCTACCACCCAGCCTAGCTGGCCACGTTCACGGAGGCTCGGTTCCTTTGAGTGGCTCTAGCTCGGGTCATGGTACTCAAACTGCAACCGCGAATCCCAGCACTCATCATCATCCGAACCCTATCCCTGCGTCTACCACGATGGGTCACAGGACATCGCCAACCAGTCATCATCGTCTAGCTGGGAATACCAGCCTGAGCAGTCACTACCCTTCGAACTCTGGCTTCTCCAGCGATCATCATGGTACATCGAGCGCGATGAGTGGTGCTTCCTCGAATTCGAGTATGTTAAATCACGGAGGTTCACCGGCGGTTCATCGACACGTGGTAAACGCCAACAGCAGTCTGTCGACCACACCGCTTGCCAGCCATCATCACGGCAGCTCGTCGGGTAGCTTAACCGGACACTCTACCGTGAATCATCATCACGTCAGTTCGGGTATATCCTGCGAGTCTTCTTCGTCGAACGCCAACACGAGAACCCATAGCCGTTTAGATCACGTCCACGATCATCATCATCACTTGCAACAAGTGCATCCGTTGCACGCGAGCCACCCAGACGCCCGGCAAAGGGACAGAGCTCCGTCCAGTTTGGAGCATCATAATCATCATCACGGGCACATTCACAGCCACGGGCATCAGCATCCGCAGAACAACGAGACGAAAAACACGTCTCTGATCGGCGTCGATGCCATACAGGTATTTGCCAAGGTTGCAACACGATGCGAGATAATTGAATCTCTACTTTCGTTCAGGTTCAAAATTTAAATATCAAATTCGCTGTCTACGGCAACAATTTATCGAGATTTTTCTTTTTCCCGACTTGTCCAGAAGCTTCTTACGAAATGATGCTTGTGACATTTAGGTATCGGCTCCTTCGAAGAGTAAATGTCAGTGTCATGTGGTGCAAACTGGAGGAAACAAGAGAGGACCAGAGGGTGAAAGCGACGGAGGCGTTGAAGTGACATCAAGAACGCATCAACCCCCTGCGCTTCCTCCCCGGCCACCCCCTAGACCGACCAGGCGATACGAGACAACGTCCGTCAACCAGTGTAAGTGTTTATCACCTATTTTTTTTCTCATTTACTTTAACATTTCCCTCTATATAAATTGCGTATAAACGACTGCGGTGTAAAAAACAACAAATATAATTATTCATCGACTACCCAAGAAACTGGTTACTCGAGGAGAACATCTATCGCAATAGGGAATCAATATTTCCAGCACGTAAGCTTGTCAGTTTGAATGGTGGATAAGCAGTATCGTTTCCATTCGAAGCACTCTTCTCACCCTCGCTCGACTTCCGCTTAAAACAAGCATGTCACCCAGTCGGACAGCGTTTCCGGGAGTTCGATTCACAGGAAGTTAGCCGGTAGCTCCATCCTTGGTCGTCAAAACCGAGGATCATCCTAACGTCTGTAGTATCAGCGGAATAACGAGCAAGGAAACGTATCCACCACCCTTCTTATCAATAGCTGAGACACGTTATCGACGCCGACGAGCGCTGTTGACCGATTCTGCTCGCTCGAAGAAGCAACCCCTGATGGAATTTCAACCCTCGACCGCGTCGAGTCGCTCGAATCGTCAGGGTATATCGACCAGTCGATGCTCGCAGTAACCGAGAGCAGGAGCATCGTGTCGTGAAGAATGCTTCTGCGAATCGAACAACAAGCTACGTTACTTTTACCCTCTGTCACGTTAATCCGAACGTTGCAGCGTGAATAACGTCGGAAAGAATGCCGTTTCGGGGGTGCTTTCAAAAGGATTTTCAAAGGCCCACCCCTGGCCTACGAATCGCCACCACCACCACCACCTGTGGGACACCTCGGCGTGCGGGGTAACATAGAGAACTCGTGGAGAGTCTCTCCAGTTGTTGTGCACTCGCGTTCGTCTTCGAACCTGTAAGAAGAAACAGGCTGCACCTGAAATTTTGGGATTCGAGAAGGACACGAAGATTTCGTAACATCTGGGAGAATCTTCGTAACGATCTTGTCACAGGACGATGAGTAAAACTGGTGATTATCATACTCGATCGTGAACCGATCAATGAAAAAGTGGACTGTAAAGGGTTGACCTTGAGAAGTAGTGGACCCTTCTAGGAAAGACAGGCGATGCGCAAACGTAGTCCATGTGCCATCGAACAGGAGACACTAGTGCGTGCCGTGATTTTCATCTTCGATTTCTCTGCTTTCTGGTTGACGCAACCGTACGCGATTTAAAATTCAAATTCCTCGTGAGGTTTACACGAGAGGATCGTGCGACGACATCGTGATAAAAATTGAACGTTTGTGCGAAAGAAAACATTGCTCGTGACTGGCACGTGTTGGCCGAGCCAACTTGGAGAAAGGATCGAAATCATCGGAGGGTGGAGGCAGATAAGTTTGACTGAGTTACTTAAAGAAGAAAGAAGATGGATGGATACCCGGTGCTCCAGATAGTGCGATGTCGGCTTGGAACGGAAATGGAGATGGATAACCAGGGTTATCCGTTCACAATGGCGGCACACTCGCATTCCCACTTGCCGCATCCGTCAAACCACGCGCACTTCCCGAGATCGCATTACCCTCACCCCTGTGGTATGCCGATTAACCCCTTCTTGTTAATTTATCAATCGGTTCTGCAACCCCATTCTACCTCCGCCGTTGATCCGCGTAACCGCGTAATCTGCTATTAGCTATTCCATTAAGTCTCCTCTGATGCGATAATTAATTCCCTCGATCGTTAAACATGCATTTCACGATCACATTCGAGGCAGAAAAGTTATCCCTTGATACGATGAATTTTAATCCTCGAACAGGGTCAATCGCGATACGAAAATACGAAATATTTCCAATCGGGCTTTCACTAAAATTAGACACCTGAATTTTTCAACGGAACACTCGTGTAAAATAAGCCATTAACGCGTTGAACGCCATGGGGGCCACCGGTGACCGGCCCCAAAACTTACACACGTCTGAATAATTAAAAAAAAGAAAAGCAATAGAAAAACATTTTTTAAGTAATATTGCTATGGTACAAATAATGTGAAATGACAAATAGAAAGCTTGCAATTTGAAATTTGAAAATTAATTATTACTATTCTTAATAATTAGAGTTTTAATACGTTCCACAAAAAATGTCCAATTTCACTGTGACATTCAACATGTTAAAGCGATGTAGAGGACTACGTTTCAGAAACTTATCTTCCACCATGAACGTTCTATTTTTACATAGTAAAAAAAATATATTACATTGCCGTGGAAGGTCACGTGGATGACGAAAGGTTACCGTATAAATAGATATCGACGAGCTTCTTAATAAAACACGCGTTTAACGGTGTACCGGGAGGTAGCGCGATAAAATCTTTGAAATTCAACTTCGACACGTCGGAAATCAAGTAGTTTTCGAGTCTGTAATAAGGTCAAGCATTCGATTGGAATTGGGACGCTGAAGATCGTGCAGATTAAGCAGAGATGTAAAATTAGAAGATGTAAGATTACTCGAGGATACTTTTCTAAATGAAAATTGCATTGACGTTTAAATCCTCGAATCGTAACTATACCGGTCCAGGTAGTACAGGTGCAGTTTGGTCAGAAATCTTGGCCTCTTGCATTCACAAAAAGGTAACAAAGGTGGCAGGTAGCCGAAGGCATTCAATAAAAGTGTTTTCTAAGCCGGTTTCAATAGACTAGAGAAAGCTCGAAGCAAGGTTGCGTAGTAAACCGAAGGAAAAGATTTTTGCCTCATTGAAATTCTGGACGACTTTTTAGAATCATCAAATTTATCACTCAACAGAAGTCTATTCGGTGAACAATGACCGAAGCTCTGAGAAAATATAAATTCTGGTTCAATAGAATCTTTCAATGGAACGTTGGTCGCATAATCTTCGTGGATTTTACTGGTCGGCAGAAAAATAATTAGATTTTTAATTACAGAAGATGATCTCTCCACTCGTACGTTGGCTGTGCTATAGAAAGGCACAGTACCCTCCTTTATTAATGGGAAACCTGATTAAAAAGTTCAGCTCTGTCGAGTCTCGTTTTCTCTTCAGGAGGGAAAGAGAGAATCTGCTATTGTCTTTGAAGAGACATAGCATCGACGCTTGCACCGCTCAACATTCATCGAAGGAATTTTCAATAGAGCGTAGTCGGCTCGATTGCGAGCTTTGACAACAAAAGTTGAAGAGCCCGGATGATTGAAAATGGAATACCTCTGTTACGTCCCACCAAAGAAAAATAACGCTTTCTACGATGCTTACATGCCGTAGAGGCAATTTCAACGACGCGTTTCAACGCGGTATCTTCTCGTTGAATTGCAATTCAGCACGACTTGAAAGAAGGAGAAAAAAAAAGGGTCCAACATATCTAAGCATCGTCAAACAATGGTTAATTCTTTGCTCTTGTAACCAATTGACAAGAGAGGTGGTTAACAAAGAAAAATAAGGTGATGTAAGAGGTAATCACCGATCTAGGAAGATTCGAAGAATTTCGCTGAAAGCACCTTTCTCATTCTGGTTAGATCAGGGCCTACCGTTGTTGGGTTCTCACGCAACGTGAAAGGAGAAATCTAAGTCGTGCAGGACCTTTTTTCTGAAAAGGGTCGATAGTCGTTTACAAAAGATTCCGTTTGGCCGCCGAAAAATATCCTTCCAGCTATTTCGTGTTTCTTAGAGATCCTTTGAAACGATACAACGTAGAGATTTTAGAAGTTAGATATCCCAAAACTATTCCATTCAGTACTCCTTTCTCTATTTTAATTCCTCGCTATCGTAGGATTACTGTAAATGACCGATTTGAATTTTACAGGCCATACCGGTGAAGGTGGTTGCTGCAAGAAGTACGTTGTCCTTTGTTGCCTTTGTGGCGGCTTGAGCGCCGCGGTTGGCAGTCTCTTTTTGGCGGTACACGCGGTCCTTTCAGCCCACACGGCTAGTCTAGCTCTCTTTGAGACTGTACCATCTTACATTCCTGGCATAATGGTAAGAGACTGAGATCGGAATCTATCGATCGACCTCGCTTCAACGTGCATGCAACGCACCACTAAATTTCATCCTGACCTTATGGTTAATCCTCCTGCGGCCGATTGAGCATTCAGCTGTCCTGCACCCACGTAAGGGTTAACGAATTATCAAATAAATAACTCCATGGATTTCTAACGTATTTTTCAGTTAATTCTAATGGGTCTGTTCACGATGCTGCTCGCCAGGCGGAAACACAGATATGGACTTCTGGTAAGTGCGTTACGATTATCTCATATACAGTAGAACCTCGATTATCCAAAATAAAATTCTGTTTAGAATGTTCGGATAATCAGGTGATCAAATTATTAGAGCCACTCGCATAAATTGACGATTTTACATAAAAATGATTAATTCTTAAATGAAAACCGAGTTAAACAGAATTTTTGTTACTTTTTTATGATGTATTGATGCTTGGAGTATTTTTTTGTATATTAATAGTGGAGAATTATTGATTAAAAGTTACACAATGTAAAAACCTTAAAATTATGGCTCTATTTCTACACAAACACGAAAAACCCTTTAATAAGCCACTGGATATTAGAAACACATTACGTACGAAAAATGTTAATTTTTTAATTTTAAATATTGTTTACTCATTTTTATTTTCCCAATCTTTTAATGCTGCCAAATTGCATATTTTTTCAAAGTTAATAATTTCACTGGGGTACCATCTCAGGACTGTCATCCACGTTCGGATAATCGAGGTTCTACTGTAGCCCGTCAACAATTTTCTTGTTAAGATAATTTCGTAATTTTTGATAGATGAAGGTGTGTGGATCCGTCGGTGTGGTGTGCGCGTTGGTATGCGTGCTCGTCACAGTAACCACAACAGTGATACACATGTCTCGACTGCAAGGTCTTCGGAAGTGCGTTTACACCGTGAAGGCGAGGTGTGTATTTCATATTTTCACCAAATCTTAGATAATCAAATTACTAATAATTATTGAATTAGGTCGTGTACGTGTTACGGGGCACCGGAAGGAGACCCCGGGGTCCTCTTCGAAGGCACTCCTCATTGCGAAGCGGTTCACGGTGCCTTGCACGCCTGCTTGAGAGCACTGTTCGGCGTTTCCGTCGCTGGAATCTTGGCATGCATATTCTCGTGCATGCTGGTGTACCAGTTACTGAGTCACGAGAAGAAGAAGATGTACTGGGAGCAGCTGGAGCTCAGATGCAGATCTCTGTACGGTCAAGGAGGCACCGTGGGACCAGCGACTGGTTCCTGTGGCTGCTGCAACGACTGCGGTGGCGCTGGCCCATGGTGGGCCCAGACACCCGGAAATCTGTACACGCCGAATCCTGATTTGGCACCGTCCAGGTACGCGAGTTTCGTTTCGATCGGACACATAATCGACGAACATCGGTAATGCTTCCTCGAACGTTGTATAACACGAACACGTTACCGTCACCGTTATCGCGTGATTAAATTTTCAACGACAGAACGCCGCTTCCCGCGAGCTGGCTTCATTGAGAAATTATTGATGCAATTCAAATGCGGCGTGTACGTTCGCCGTGGAGCGTAACGATACATATTCAATAGACTTCATTCGCGAATGTCACGAATATCGGATACGGGGTGCAATAAACTCGTAAACAAGCCAATGATCCCAGCCTTCGGTAACATGTGTATTGTATTCCTGTAATCCGCTAATGTATGGCATTAATTAAGCCAGGATTCTGCTTCTGACATTTAGAAACAGAGATTTCTTCGTCTCTGAAATTCACTATGACGAACGATCCATTCTTTCGAGCGTTCGCAAAAAGCAACGATCGTGTCTCTCGATTACTTTCGTGAAAGGTTACGATAAGTTCTGCTTCACCTTTTCGAAAACTTTCTTTTATGCCGTTGACAGATTCAATGAATACGTTTCTCTTTGATGTTGCAGAAGATGGAGACTTCCATGGTCCAGGTCCAGAGGACCAGCACCGAGTCCTGATTCAAATTACGGTTTTCACACGCAGGCCAGGCAGACGGAAGCCAACGTAGAAAATACCAACGGCCCTTACAGCGTCCTTAATTCCCAATCCAGTGGCCCTTATTCGGTTTTGAACGCACAAAACGGACCGTACACCCCCAGCACAGCTTCTTACAGCGTTCTAGAGGCTCCTGTTCCTATGTGGGGCCCTCCGCCACCTTACAGCGATCCCAACAGTCCAGCTAGGAGGCCACAAGTGACTGAACAGAGGCCAAGGATCACCAAACGGATCGAGAATTTCGAAAACAACGAGGGTAAGGATCTAGATCAGCGTTCAAATATTTACTATCGCTAGAAATGTGCGATCAGAATCGCGGAGGAATATTTGTTTCGTGCGAAACAACAGTGTATGTTTCAAATTATTGTTTACTGAACGGAAACAGGGTAAACATTGATACATACACAGGGTGTTCTTTTTTAAGGGGTGATTCTAGGGATTAAAATAAGACGAAATAGCGTTTGCGGCTTTGTTTTCCAGTAATTAACGTTTAAAAATTCGAATAAAAAGCCCCTGAAACCTGTAATCTGCCCAGCACCGACGACTGAACGTCACTGCAGTACCGAGAAACAGAATAACACGAGATAAGTTTCTACTATTCGATGATTGTTGGTTATAACTGTTGCCACCCCTGCTGATCTGACGTTCAGTCGTCGGTGCTGGGCAGATTACAGGTTTTAGGGGCTTTTTACTCGAATTTTTATCTTATTTTGATCCCTAGAACCACCCTTTAAAAAATCTCCCACCTGTTGTCAAACGCCCTGTATAAGAAGGTAAAACGCAACCTGTAACACTGGACATACACCAACGACACGACTGCCGATGATCTCTTTGACGCTACGCACCGCCTAAAAATCAAGGGTCTTTTCTAAACAAACGTCACGAAAGCTACCCTCGTACCGACTAAAATTTACTAAAATAACATCCTGCTCGAATCGAAGGTCTGAACACCGTCGCTGCGGATCACAGATCAAGATCCGTGAAACGTCCTTCCGATAACTACGAGAATGCCGAGGAAATATCGAACAGCACCGACCCAGAGGGAGGGAACGAGGGTACGATGAAGGGGAGAAGAACCAGGAAGCCTTTAAAGGGTGTTGAAAACAGTGCCTTCCAACAGGAAGCGAATCCTGGTCCCAAACAGTCGGAAAGCGAACTCTATTTCGGCGACGTGTCTTCCTGTTGCGGTCCAGAGAGCAGTTTCTACGACCTGGCCGTGGACAAAGAAGGTACACCCTTTCAACTACAAAGGGCTCGGCAGAAATAAACGATCGTTTCAATTCAATTTCTTCAGGCGCGGAACATTCGGAGGGCGTTGATTACCTGGCAGCTCGTTTAGGTAAACGACAACTCTCGAAGAGGTCCAGGATGCCTCTTCCTCTTCCGTCGGACAGCGGCGACATACCGTCGGACAATTACGCGAACAACGACGAACCGAGAAGTGCGAGAGGACCGTTTCTAGCTCCTGACGCCCAGTACGAGGTGATTCAACAAGGCAGATACTCTTATTACGCGTCGAAGGACGACGAACAGCTCCAAGAAGGTCCAGCGACTTCGGGATACTTCAGAGAGGAGGAAGGTGAGAGAGGAAGAGAGAGGGATTACAGGGACTACAGGAGCAGTCAGGAAGAGGAAACACCTCAATGTTGTCTGAGCGACTCGACGACGTTGGACTCGGGCTGGCAAAGCGGAGAACAACAACAATCGGACGATAACGTACGACCGGTGAACGTGTGATTAGATTTCAATGAGAAATAAGATTGTACGAGGAGGATTGTACGAAGCCTGAGGATACTTATAGTCTGAATGAAGGTAGAGAGAAAAGAAGTAGACGGAAAGGTGGTTTATCCAACGATCCAGGCTCGGTAGAATTTATTTTTCAAGGATCAGTGAAAGGATCGTCTCCGCTTAGCCTTTCGTTGTACACGTTGGAGATATCCTTCCAAGTTCATCGCAATTGAACTGCCGCGAGTTAGATAGGGGATCGTGTAGAATATAAAGATGGTGATAAGAATAGAAATCTTATAATTACCATGTTTATAATAGAGTATAAGCGTTGTGATTTGTGGTACGATAGCTTAAGACGTAAACCTTTAATCGTTAGAGCATTAAGCGAACGAGATTATGTCGCGTTAACAGAAGTCTGATAAAGGATTACGCGAGAGTATTTCCGAGATAATCCTACTTAGCACTGTATTTTTGTTAATTAAACGCTATGTCGCCCGATGTTGTTCGTAACGTTAATCTTTAATGTATGTCGAATGGAAATCGTACATAGAGAAAGAGATAACTAGTTTCATAGGTGACAAGTCATGGAAAAGGTATCTATGAAATAAAATAATCATTGAAAGAAACAGATAGATTTTTCCAAAGGTTTTTTGCAAACAATGTTCTATTTTTCAATGGATACCTTTTCCTTGGCGACTCGTTAGAAACGTCCATGTACAAACGTGTGTGCTTTACTCTTGCCAATATCTTGCTAGGTGTCAACCGATTTTCGCACTTACACGCTAATCGTTGCAAAAATATTTATCGTTCAACGATACGTTCCGATTCGCGCACCATTAGTTCATCAAATTCTATTCACTGCCTTTTAAACCAACAATTTATCTTCCAATAAATCGAACGAAATATCTTCGAGCATCCGAACACGAAGTCTGACGCGATTTTACAATGTTTGCAAAGAAATTGTCGTTATTCGTGCTTGTCGATGTTTATCGCTTCGAAGGAATCGTATCGGTGATCTGTGTTAGTTACTTTGCGTTCTAGAGACGTGAATTACAAGAACAATATACAATCCAGGTGGACCAAGAACAATGTAGAGAAAGAAGCGATTTTTACCGAATTAACGTGACAGATTTTCTACACTACCGTCGACTAGAGCCGTTCATTATAGAACACGCGAAGCAGATGCATATTTTATAACCATGATTCGAGAGTGAAAGAGGCAAGGCCAGCTTAGGAGAGTAGTTTAACGTTGTTTACTCGATAAAAGTGTACCTTAACAGCGATACGTAGCTAAGTCCGATACATTGTCGAACGATGTAACTGACAATTATTAAGAATAAAGCTTTGTTTTGTAAAGAAATCACGCGTGATTCGTTTCAAACAATACTGTCCATTGTCATCGAACGTATGTAACAAACAATACCGCTATTAGAGGTGTGCGAGTACTCGAAATTTACCAGCCGAGCTGAACTCTCTACGATTGTTCGACCCGAGTCAAGCGATTGAATTTGCCGAATTACTGGAAATCGACGAAATGTTTAAAACAAAAGCGAGCTAATCGAATATTCGAGCCTTCGATTTACCTGAAGATGAATTTTCAATTCGGCAAATTCAAGCGCTCGACTCGACTCGACCGACCGATCATTATTCGACTTGAAATTCGAGTACTCGTAATTTACAAGCCGAGCTGAATTCGCTACGATTGTTCGAGCCGAGTCGAGCGCTAGAATTTGCCGAATTACTCGAAATCGACGAACTGTTTAAAACAAAAGCGAGCTAATCGAATATTCGAGCCTTCGATTTACTTGAAGATGAATTTTCAGCTCCAATTTTCGAGTAACTCTCTTTTGTTTCAAACAGTTCGTCGATTTCGAGTAATTCGGCAAATTCAAGCGCTCGACTCGACTCAACCGACCGATCATTATTCGACTCGAAATTCGAGTACTCGTAATTTATAAGCGGAGCTGAACTCGCTACGACTGTTCGAGCCGAGTCGAGCGATTGAATTTGCCGAATTACTGGAAATCGACGAACTGTTTGAAACAAAAGCGAGTTACTCGAAAAAATCGAACTGCTCGAAAATTGGAGTTGAAAATTCATCTTCAAGTAAATCGTAGGCTCGTATATTCGATTAGCTCGCTTTTGTATGAAACAGTTCGTCGATTTCGAGTAATTCGGCAAATTCAAGCGCTCGACTCGACTCAACCGACCGATCATTATTCGACTCGAAATTCGAGTACTCGTAATTTATAAGCGGAGCTGAACTCGCTACGACTGTTCGAGCCGAGTCGAGCGATTGAATTTGCCGAATTACTGGAAATCGACGAACTGTTTGAAACAAAAGCGAGTTACTCGAAAAAATCGAACTGCTCGAAAATTGGAGTTGAAAATTCATCTTCAAGTAAATCGTAGGTTCGTATATTCGATTAGCTCGCTTTTGTATGAAACAGTTCGTCGATTTCGAGTAATTCGGCAAATTCAAGCGCTCGACTCGACTCGACCGACCGAAATTCGAGTACTCGTAATTTACAAGCCGAGCTGAACTCGCTACGACTGTTCGAGTCGAGTCGAGCGATTGAATTTGCCGAATTACTCGAAATCGACGAACTGTTTAAAACAAAAGCGAGGTAATCGAATATTCGAGCCTTCGATTTACTTGAAGATGAACTTTCAGCTCCAATTTTCGAGCAGTTCGATTTTTTCGAGTAACTCGCTTTTGTTTCAAACACTTCGTCGATTTCGAGTAATTCGGCAAATTCAAGCGCTCGACTCGACTCAACCGACCGATCATTGTTCGACCCGAAATTCGAGTACTCGAATAAATCTAATTATTCGCTCTAACCTCTAACCCCCGTAGCCTAATGGCTATCGGACTAAGGCAAATGAAAAAATAAAGAAACCGATACAAGCAGGACACAAATTAATTCCGAACGAACGATATTATCGCGGTCTATATGTCACTGAAACACACCCAGGTAAGCATTTAAAAAGGAATGCGAGATCTATACCGGGCACAGCTATTGTCAGCAATTTTCTTAGAGAACTCCCGCGCTCTCTGCGCGTTGCCCAATATCAGATTATACGCTTTCGCAACATGCGGCACGATCGTTGAACTTTCGCAAGAACGTGTGCACACACGAGATGCCTGACCATTGTAAGTTACCATTAATTTCGCGTAATCTAGATCGATCGCCGGCGACAGCACGGAAAGCATCCTTTTCTATCGCCTACTCAAGTTCAATAAATAAATACAATACGGAACATGAATGAGCGCGATTAGAAATTACGTTATCTTGATCGATGTACCAGACTATAAAATTGTCAGTTCTGACCAAGTTTTCCACTCTTACGATCCCATCTGACTGACAACGGGTTCGTATGCCGTATGCTCAATCATTTAATTAACCAAAGGCAAAGGAACGTAGCGACTGATGTTAATAAATTGCAATTAAGTGTTTTCTAAGGTCGTGTCGCGGTTGATACGATCTTTTCGAATGAAGGTTCGTTAGCAAAACGGACTACCGTTCTTTAACTGTATCCACTCGGGTGTTTGAATCCGCAGCAGCAGCAGCAGCAGTTGTGTTGCAATCGTAGCCAGACGCAATTTACTTACAAATTACTTACAGTGCATTTAACAGTACATTTCTACCGATTCGAATTAATTAACGAACCGGTAAACGAGGAAAAATTAACGGCTATTCTTACACGGATCTTTTATTGCGTTCGTTAAGCGTTTTATAAACATGATCCATAATTTCGACGCTGGTGAAACTGCCATATTAACCCTTTAACTGTGGGTGTGGTTTATAGACCACATACTAAAATTATAGCCAGAGGCGAGTGTGGTATATAAACAACATATTAATTTTTGCTAATATCAATTAACGGTTGTGGCTTATATACCATTGAAATAAAAATAAAATAAATACAATAAGAAAAATCTTTTAAAATAAAATATCACTTCAGTAATGTAATTTAAAATTAAAGCGATCGGCTGTGCTAAAAGTACTCTCAATTAAAGGGTTAAATACCTATTCTAAAGTATTGCTTATTGAGATCGAAGAAACTACAAGAAATTTTCCTATCGTCAAAAACTATTTATTCCGCCTCGTTCAGTTTCACGTTTCTATCAAGAACAGGATCCCTCGACGACCCTGTGCGCCGCCTGATTCACCAGAAACCTTTCAACCCTTTCTCTGAATTCCCTGCTGGATTCTGGCAAGGGGAGTCTCGGCCCGGAGTTTCGTAGACCATGCAACGCGTTGAAATGTTGCAAACTTTCGGTCAGTCTACGATCGTGATCCAGAATATCCGGTCTAGGCGCAGGTGGTTTCCTCTTTCCCGCCACTGTTCCGTCCACTTTGTTCTCGACGGATCCATTCGAGTAACCGCTTTCCGGCAATCTATTCCTCATCCCTCGCAACGCTATTCTTGCGCTTAGAACCGACCAGAACGCCTCCAGAAGAGACGCGACCAATACATTCACCGTAAGTAAAATCTTATCGTGTGGAGTGTTTTGATGATCCTTCTTCCAAAACGATATCATTCTATCCTTTATCATCTGCAAAGTTTCGACGTTGGAATTGTACGAATCTTGCTGCGGTCCCTCGGTGGACAGTTCATCCTCAGAACTTTCAGCGGAAGATTTGCTAGAATTCTTCAAGTGATCGTCCGTGGATTCGTTTGAAGTTCTCAGAATGTAGCCAGATATATTAGACATGTTGTCGATCACGATCCCAGCTGTGGGCGAGTAGAGATTGATCTCCGATAAACGATCATGGGTAGCGTTGAAGGTGTCTTCGTCGAGGGACATCGTCTCGTTCATCAAAGTATCCGTCTTCAGGTATTCCTCCAGGTGAGAAGGATCTCGAGGCTGATCGAGAATCTTCTCCAAGGACCACGATGCTCCTCTGCTCTCCGCTGCAGCGGCGATATCGAGAACGGTCGCGATAAAACAGAGGATCGCTGCTATCAGAGAGAATAGGCTACCGTAAAAGAAAATCGCGATGTTCCGATCGATGTACCATCTTCTCCAGGCGAGGAGACCGGTCACGAACGGTACCAGACACGCGATCGAGAGGATCGGACCTTGAAGAGATAACGCGAGACTGCCCAGCAAAAGGGAGAGCGCACCCAGACCGAAATGAACGAAGGACAGACCACCCACGGTCGACGCTGAATACCGACGCTCCGATGGGTACAGAGAGGATAATGGTGGCTTCGTTTTCACCTTTATCACGTACACGTTCTCCATCATTGTTCTTCTCGCGGTTGTTACGCAATCGAACGAGAACAAAGTCACAGAACGAAGTTAATTAAAAGCAGGGTAGAAGATTTTTAATTGGATAGAAACAGTATCGTGACGGGACATCGTCGGTGCCATCAAGTTTTCCAGATGTCCATACGTAACGCAGTATTAACCTGGTTCCCCTCAACGGAAATTGCTTTGCACTTCCTGCTGGTCGTCGGAATCAAAGGCACTTGACCGTGAACGAAATGCACCGGGTGTAACGAGTCATCAAAGTACGAAATGTTCTTTCGAAAGAAATTTCTTCGCTCCAGCTCGCGAATCGTACCCGCTAGCAGACTAGTCGTCGCGTTATCGCGGACGAAATTGTCGATGATTTTCTATCTGACACGAGCGACCGCTCGGCGCGGCAATTATGCTAACCGCTTCGAGTGTAATTGAAATCTTCGTCCCACCGTATCACGTGGATTTCTTCGTGACTTGGTGCACGACCACGCTTGTGCAACGCGTCTCTAACAATGAGACGAAAACCAAGGAAGAGGCACACGATCCAGCAGGGATCCAATGAGCGTGAACGCGAAACGGTAAATAGGTTTAACAACCTGACGCTTCGTGGTTGCTTCAACTATTATTCTTTTATTTTTCTTTTATCTTCCTGTTGCCCGCGAATGTTATGCAACTGATTACGAGGCGATTCAATTATCCCGCTGGTACGATTGTACCAGCGAGGCTCAGCTTTTCTCAGACGATTTTCTTCCCCGATTTCTTAGGCGAACCGCTCTGGATTTTCGATCTCTTGGGAAATCAACGATCCAATTCCCGCCGATAAAAGCTATCTTGATCAATCTTTTAATTAATACGTCTTCTCGCTAATTATTCTTCAGTCTGTCGATCAATTAACTTCGTTAAGATTATTAACAAACACACTCGTACATCACTGGAACGTTTCGTTGGTCGAACAAGAAATGCTCTTTCGAAGACGCATGTCCTCGTTACAAATAGTACTAAGTTTTCATCGTATTTCACGGCTGATTTATGAGAACTGCTCGCGAGAGACACTCCGGTGAAGACTGAACCGCGAACGAAGGTAGGCTAGTTCTGGTTGAAATTACTACGAGATCCTGAACAGGCCTCCCACGCGGTCGGTTCGCAGTGAAAGGGACAACAGAGAACGACGACGGATAGGCGAACCTTCGCGTTGTTTTATGCCTTCTTCACGCCACTTTCCGTGGCCGCAAAACGATGTCACGCTTGCACACAGAAAAAAAAAGTGGAAAAATTTAATGTAATACAGATGAACGTATTTCCTCCGCGATCCTTGTAAAAATTCCGCCATACGTGTTAATTTTCAAAACAGACGGAAAATACTGTTTTTAACGCAATATGTTTATTGATGTTTTTAAAAATAATAAAGGAGGTAGAGGTCTTGAGAACCGTGCAGAATCCGTACGAAGGATCATGGTAACCTTTATTCTTCGCGATGGAAACACACGGGCTTGGCAGTCGACCTTTCCTTTGAAGAATAACGCGAAGGTAACATTACTGTCGATTTTCTCACGGGGAAAAAACTTTCGAAGATCTCAGAAAAGGTAGTCTCAGGTAAGGTAGTCAAAATGGCCTTCGTATCAAATTAAACTCAGAATGCGTCATTCATGCGTCAATTTTCAACCTTTTATTTCAACCAGGGAAGTAGTAAGAGGAAAAATCGAAATTCCAGTTTTTACCCCATTTTTTCTATTTAATGACATTCGAAAATTCTGAAAAAATTCTAGCACACTGCAGGCTATCGCATATTAGGGAATTTTGTAAATTTTTCCATTATAAATCCTAGTTGTAAAAAATGAAAAACCGAACAAAAAATCTGGAAAGACGCGATTTCTTATTCAAAACGTAAGAGCACTACTTTTATATTATTGTGGTAACTATTGCTCTTGAATTTTTTCAGATTTTTTATTAAAGTGTGTAGCAGTTCAAAAATCAAAAACCAAAGAAAGGAACTTCTACTTCGAATTTCTTAGTCTTCTTTTTTTAAGATGTGTATTAAATACTTTCAAATGAGTTCAGATTCACAGGTGGTATACAAATTCGAGAAACAGAATTAACTTAAATAATTAATACTATGCTCTTGGCGATATACCAGAGTATTAAAGTTTCTTCCAACAGCATCGGTAGTAAAACGGTTAAGGTATCACTCTATCCTCTTTTGTAAATATTTCGTATTATAGTTTGTAAAAAATCAATATGATGCTAGCTCCCTTTTTAGTGACTATTTTGGGGAGCATTGATAAAAATAAAGTAACCTTAAATTTACCAAAGTAATGGAACTAGTTTTAAGGAAATGATAACGAGCGATAATCCTTACAACGTCTATTTTTATATTAATCTATAAAAGAAAAAGACTGAACAAAGTGTACCTTATAAATTTCTAAAAATAAGTAAGTAAAGCATACTTTTTATTTATTTAAAGTTTTATATCTTTGTAACCATTTTCCAATAGCCACAAATATACAACTTAAAAACAAACGGTTAAGAGAAATTCTTACGTCCTTTTATTTTTTCTTCAGCGAAGGTTCGAAACATTTTTTTAAAATGATTTTTACTCATTACAAGCTCATCCTCAGCGCTAGTTAAAAACCACTAAGCTGATAAATTATTGCAACTACATGCGAACAACACAAGGTTTAGCGATCAGCGAGTGTCCATCAATCGAGAGAAATCAAAGGGCTAATCGAAAATGATTCGATGACTCAGTGTCCGACACGAATGATGGACAGAAGCAGAAGAAGAAAGAGGCGACACGCGTTTTAGCGCGTGCCACGTAAATGGCGACGCACGTGGCTACCCCTATTTTTCGAATTAATCTTTCCAACCACCCTAGCGAGCAGTCGATTCCCATTTCGAACAAATAATTGTGAATGCTCAACGATCAAAGACTGACCGTTTATTATGTTGCTGTTAATGGTTTGTCCTGTTTGCACAGCACCCCAAACGTTCTATCAGTTTTGCAACGCAACAATTAAGGAGAAACGTATGCAAAGTGTCGTACTTAATGTAAGAAAAGAGAAAATTGAACTTTCTCGATCTTATAGCATAAAATTCTTATGTCGTTGATCAATCGCTGGAGCAGAAAATTTGCCATACTTTCCTGGAAACCGATTATTAGCGCATAAAAAGTAACAGTGTTTATTTAATAGGAGTGAAACAATCTTGCGATAAACTTAATTGATGCTGAATTTGTTCTTAAGAATAAACTTTCCTGCAATTTGTTTAAACGGGAAAGAAAGCGGACTAGAAAAGTGGTTCTGAAGTCACTGTCGAGGCATAGATTGATGAAACAATTGAAACGGTAGAAAAATGAACAATTATGCAGTTACATATTCGGCTCGCGAAGAGTGAAAGATAAAGAGCGTGTTTGTGATCGAAATGCATTTGTGTTGGAGCAGCTGTTACGGTTGGGGCACGCGTCCCAACGGTCGCAACAGCTGCCCAGAAAATTCTCTATAGTGTCTTCAACTAGAGTTCCTCCACAATACACGAAACGTTGCATACTTTCACATTGCATCTTTAAAACAAACATATGTAACATTCATTAACAAAAAAATAAAGACACGTAGGTCAACACAGCGATGGATTTATTGCTTACTGCTTCGATCTTATCATAAATTATCATTACCATTTACCATTTACAATTTCATGGCATGCAGATACAAAAACTATGAAATATACATTGCTTTATCAACTTTCAGTCAATTAAGATTAATAATAAGAATTTTGATTTGGTAATTCATGCATTATTTAAATGCATTAGGAAGATTTATTTTGAGAACTTAAATTTTCCCAAAACGATATAGAAAATGAAGTATCGAAGACGAGAAGAGAAGTGTCTAAAATTAAAGGAAACGGGATTTAAAATTTAAATGTCACGGCGGAGACGCGTCGAGGGTTGACTGTAAAGGTGGTATAAATTCCTTGGCACAATGTCGAGGGGGTAGTGGTAGCAGAAAAACGTTGGAAAGAACGCACTATAGGTAACGGGGGCCCTCGTTCTGTGACGGGACACCAGGCCCGTATTATGTGAAGCCTCTGACAACCCCTCAGGTAGTACGTTGCACATACACACGCGTGTCCATTGGAAACGCTCGGAGAAACGCCCTTCGTACATCTGCCGGGAAGGAAACTCATATGGCAGTTTGTCGGAGGCAACCGTAGTACACGGATCGAACGCGTTCGAGCACTGGACTTTGCCCCGACGAACTTATAAACTGTCTTCAGAAGAAAAATTCGAACCACGATACAGTGAAAAATTAATACATTATTGTTGATAATTTTTACTGTTCTGATAAACGGGCCGAAATTAAAAAAAGCATTCTGTACAGTGATTTCTGTATAAAGGGATGTAATTTGGAAGAAGCGGAGACTCTTCGAGGAAGCTGAAGAAAATGTGCAGGAAACATCGAGGTTCCTCTCAGGAAATTGTCTCGCCACCCGCAAGAACGGTAACATTTTCTCTGGAAACTTGGACACCCCCTTCCTACGTGAGCAGTACCATTCTGATCCTCCTGAATCGAAAGTGAATTAAAAAGATAAAATAAAAATACAAAAAGTGAATTTTCCTCGGTTCTTGAACCCCCGCTTAAACGATGACCATCAGGAACTCTGAATGCGCGTGACGAGCGTCGTGTGCGTCTTAATGAAGAGTCATCCATTTAAGTCCAGTGTTCCACGCGGACAATCAAGATCGCCTCGTGCCACGAGGAACGTTCATCGAGTGAAAATCTCCAGCTACGAACGGGCGGATCAAAATTGAATCGAACCATCGAAGGGAATACGAAAGGATCGAAATGATGGCTCAAACAACCGAACCAACCGCGGTGCACTGCTACACGAATCCGTCGTTTTGTCGACAATCGGAGTACATACCGGAAGACCAAACGGGCGATCTACCGCCACCTCCGCAGTTTCAAAGCGGCGGCGACGATTTACCGCCACCGCCTCCGCCATTACAACTGCAGTACAACGGTGGTCAAAGCAATCCTGCGTTTCAAGGGCCGGTCGAAAGTAAAGTCGAGCTTTACGAGACGAGGGAAAGATACTGTTATCTGGAGGAAAACAACGGGCCGACTCATCGAAGATACTCGAGTCTGCCGATAGAAGAGAATCGGACAACGTATAATCGACCTTCGAGGTACGAATATATTCAGGATGAGCAGACTGGTCGGATGGAAAGAAGGGGTTCCTCGAGGTACGAGTTCATTCCGCACCAGCAGGTGCAACAACGTTCCACACCGGTGACCAACCAAGACGATGGACGAGAGCCGCAGATACAAAGTCGTCGAAATAATGTTGGAAGGTACGCCATTGTACCGGGTGATCAAAATTATCAGGACGAAGAAAGCACTTGGAACAACGTGAATCACTTATCGCCAACGCGGAGGCACATTAACACACCCCATGGTAAGTTGAAGCGATTTCATTAACTCTTTAGACAATAAAAAAACCTATTTTATTCTTCTAAAATTTAACAAATTAGGTTTATTTATAAGAGAAATAAAATTACATAAAATTAATAAAAAATCAATTAATTAATTAATGGGTGGGACATAAGTAACCCCACCGTGCTATATGGGTCTATGAACGGTATATTGATTAAAACACATTTTTTTATGATCATCTCTGAAACTGTGCTTCAAATAATTGTAATTTTTTAAGATGGTATAAAAAACATTCCAACATGCATATTTAAATATCAAAAAGGGGGGAGGCATAGCTCTGCCATGCTCCAAGGAGTTAATGCGATAATCTAAAATTTTAAAAATAAAAATGAACAACTATGTTCTTCATGGTTCTGATTGCGAGCATAGTAACTAAAACGGTAGCGTGTTACTAGGTCGTTACACCAGAGTGCCTTTACAAGAAGAAGACCCTCCAGCGCTTCCGGAACGAAACGCGCAGGAGTTGTCCGTCTCTCCGAAGAATAATTTAGCCACGCAAAAGCTGCACGAGATATTGACCACTCCTAGGAAACCTCGATCCAGGTCCGAGGAAAGGACCCTGTCCCCAAAGAGACACCAGTCGTTCCATCAAACCGGTACGCCACAAAGAAGGGCGCTAACTCCAGGTGGTTCCCCAACCGGTACGTATTTCTTTCGCTATGAACATCCTTCGCATGCAACTACGCCTTCAAAAAATCGTTCCAAACCAAGACGGTCCGTAAAATGTCCTGGACATTCTGTTGAAAGGTCGAACCTTCAGTCCAACTCGTTCCACGCCTCAAGGA